AGGTAGAAAGTTGAAAGTGAACATAGAAAAGAGTAAGGTGATGAGAGTATCAAATGATTTAGATAAAGAAAAATTGGATATCAAATTGGGGAGGAGTTTGGAAGAAGGGAATGTTTTCAGATATTTGGGAGATGATGTGTCAGCAGATGGATTTATGAAGGATGAGGTTAATCATAGAATTGATGAGGTAAAAAAGGTGAGTGGTGCATTGAGGTATATGTGGAGGCAAAAAACGTTATCTATGGAGGCAAAGAAGGGAATGTATGAAAGTATAGTAGTACCAACACTCTTATATGGGTGTGAAGCTTGGGTTGTAAATGCTGCAGCAGGAGGCGGGTGGAGGCAGTGGAGATGTCCTGTCTAAGGGCAATGTGTGGTGTAAATATTATGCAGAAAATTCGGAGTGTGGAAATTAGGAGAAGGTGTGGAGTTAATAAAAGTATTAGTCAGAGGGCTGAAGAGGGTTTGTTGAGGTGGTTTGGTCATTTAGAGAATGGATCAAAGTAGAATGACATGGAGAGCATATAAATCTGTAGGGGAAGGAAGGCGGGGTAGGGGTCGTCCTCGAAAAGGTTGGAGGGAGGGGGTAAAGGAGGGTTTGTGGGCGAGGGGTTTGGACTTCCAGCAAGCGTGCGTGAGTGTGTTAGATAGGACTGAATGGAGAAAAATGGTATTTGGGACCTGACGAGCTTTTGGAGTGTGAGCAGGGTAATACTACTGTATTTAGTGAAGGGATTCAGGGAAACCGGTTATTTTATATGACTGGACTTGAGTCCTGGAAATGGGAAGTACAATGCCTGCACTCTAAAGGAGGGGTTTGGGATATTGGCAGTTTGGAGGGATATATTGTGTATTTTTATACATATATACTTCTAAACTGTTGTATTCTGGGCACCTCTGCAAAAACAGTGATATTGTGTGAGTGAGATGAAAGTGTTGAATGATGATGAAAGTATTTTCTTTTTGGGGATTTTCTTTCTTTTTTGGGTCACCCTGCCTTGGTGGGAGACGGCCGTCTTGTTGAAAAAAAAAAAAATACATTACTCAAACGAGTCTCACTCATATTCCTTCCTATGCTAGGGTCTGTGAGAACTATGGATGTAGGAAATATGAGAGGAAAACAGTAGGTAAAGTGTTGAAGTGTCTGTTGAGAGAATGATATTTTATCACTAGAGGCAAAATGAGTAATAAAGAGTACCAGAGTATAGTGATGTCAACTTTTTTACAGTTGTGAGGAAAGGTCCTTGAATTCTGCAGTGAGGAGTAGGCTGTAGGGGTTGTGCTTAGGTTAAATGTGTCCCGAGAACATTTTTTGTTTTTCAACAAGCTGTCTGTATCCCACCAAGGCAGGGTGATCTAAAAAGAAAAATGAAAGCATTTTCTTTTTAGGTCCCAGCATTTTTCTTTTTAGTCCCGACATTTTTCTTTTTAAAGTCTCGACATTTTAGTCCCCTCTTACGGCATGCATGACTTACTAGGGAAGAATTCTTTTCCACTTCCCTATAGAGATAAGAGTAGACAGCAACCACCCACGGGGGTACTACCGTCCTGCCAAGTGAGTGTGAAATGAAAGCCTGTAATTGTTTTACAAGATGGTAGGATTGCTGGTGTCTTTTGTCTGTCTCATAAATATGCAAGATTACAGGTACGTCTTGCTACTTCTACTTACACTTAGGTCACATTACCCATACATGAAACACCCTTAGTTTTTCACACTCATCTGATTTTCCCTTTGTTTTTAAATCTTTAATAGTTTTGGTCTTATATTTTTTCCTTTTTTTCCCCATGGGGAAGTGGAATAAGAATCTTTTCCTTTAAGCCTTTGCGTGTTGAAAAAATTTCAACAAAAAGCCCAGTGGGGGGGGGCCGATCTTTTAACCCCCGAAAAACGGCCAAACGAAATATACGTTTTTTAAAAAATTTAAAAGGTACAAAAAAAAAGTGATCTTTTTGTTTTCTACATTTAAAAAAATTTTGAAAAAAAAAACTTTAACCCTCTTTTGTAGCACTACACATGTGAAGTAGTTCGTTTTGGCCCGTTTAGGGGTTTAAAAAAAAAAAAAAAAAAAAAAAAACTTTTCAGAAAAGAAGAAAACCCAGTTTGGGGTGGTAAAAATATGCATGTACATGCGGGGTTTGGGTGTGACCAAAGGGAGAGCAGGGGATGAAACACCCTTCTAGAAAACCGTTATTAAACAGTGAGGGGTTAATTTTTTTCTTGAGCATTTTCCCTTTTGGGGAGAAATGACCTTTGCGGGCAAAATAAGTAAATATATAAAATTTTTTTTAAAAAACACGCGGGCCCCTTTCCCCCCGAGGGGGGGTGAAAAAAAAAAATCACAATCTTTACACTATAAACTGTCTTCCGAGGTGCACAGATATGACACTTTAGATGCCCCTCAAAAGCAAAAACCCCCAAACCCCCCCTTTTAAAGGGTGAAAGATGAATTTCCCCACCTAAAGGGGAATTTAAAAAACCCTAAAAGGGAAAAACCAAAATGCAAAAATTTTTACTTTTTCGGGTTCTGGGGGGTTTTGGGGCCTACGCTCTGCTCCCCCTTTTGACCTGATCCTGACTTCAGCAAATGGGTCGAGGCAATGACAAACTCGAAAAAAGGTTACATCAGATGTGCCACCAAAAACCGAGGGATGGGAAAATCACGAAAATTTTCAACAGAAAAAAAATTGTAGCAAAAGAAAAATGCTAAACTCGACAGCCCAATCTGGGGTTTATGGTTTATCCTTAAATGCTGCCCAAAGGGGAAATAAAAATTAAAAGAATTTGGAAAACCCTTTAAAATTTTTATTTTTTTTAAAATGTTGGCTGTTTCCCCCCAAGGCAAGGGGGACCCAAACAGGGGATGTATGTAAGTATGAAATTTTTATTTTATCGGAGGAGTCCTGGAAATGGGGAAAATATAATTTCCTGCACTTTTAAAGGGGGGGTTTTTGGGGTAAAAAGGGAGTTTTGGGGGGATATTTTGGTATCCCTTTAAAATGTATATGCTTCTAAATGTTTTATTCTGAGCACCTCTGCAAAAAAAGTTTTAATGTGTAAAAGGGGGTGGGAAAATGTTGAATGATGAGAAAGTATTTTTTTTTTGGGGGTTTTTCCCTTTTTTTTTTGGGTACCCTGCCCCGAAGGGGACGGCCCGGGCTAGTTTAAAAAAAAAAAAAAAAAAAAAAAAAAAAAACAAATGGCCGCTCCCAACCAGGCAGGGTTTACCCAAAAAAAAAAGAAAAATTCCCCCAAAAAAAATCCCTTTTTTACATTCAACACCCGTCACCACACTCACATTAATCCCCTGTTTTTTTCCAAGTTGCCAAATACAACCCGTTTTGGAAACATATAGTTTAAAGATACAAAACCCTATCCCTCCAAAAGGGCCCAAAATCACAAACCCCCCCCTTTTTAAAATGCAGGGATTGTACTTCCAATTTCCCGGACTCAAGTCCAACTAATTAAAATAAAAGGGGAAAAAAATACCCAAAAAGGGAATTGACAGTTCTTTTTGTGAGTACTGGCTTATGGGAGATTCTAAAGAAAACCTGCAAAGGAAAATGGACAGTTTGGGTGTTTTTAAAATTTGAAATTTGAAAGTGGAACAAAGGGAAAAAAGTAAGGGTGAGGGTATCAAAAAAATTAGATAAAGAAAAAAATTTTATTATTAAATTGGGGAAGGGGGGAGGGGGGGGGAAGGGAAAGGGGAATGGGATTAGTTTTGGGGTTGGGAAAAAATTTTTTTGGGGGGTGGGGGGATTTTTGAAAGGAGGGGGGTTAAAATTTAATGGGGGAAGGAAAAAAGGGAAGGGGGAATTTGAAGAAGGGGGAAAAAAAAAAGGGGGTTAAGGGGGGGCAAAGGAAAGGGGGAAAGGGGGAAAGAAGGGCCAAATTTTAATTTGGGGGGAAGGTTGGGGTTTTAAAAGGAGGAGGAAAGGGGAAACAAGGGGAATTTTAAAATTTAAGGGGTGATGGGGAAATATAAAGGGAAAAAGAGGTAAAATTTGGAAAAAGGTTTAAGTTTTAAAATATTATTGAGGGCTGGAGGGGTTTTGGAAAGGGTGGGGTTTTCTTTAAAGAGAAGGAAAAAAAAAGGGTTTAGAATTCATTTGGGGGAAAACAAAAAAATCTTTTAGGGAAGAAGGGGGTAGGGGTTGTTTCCAAAAATTTAAAGGGGTAAAAATTGGGGTTTTGTGGGCGAGGGGGTTGGAACCCCGCAAAATGTTTGTTAAGGGGGTTTGATGGTGAAAAAACAAATTATTTGGGGGGTTGGGAAAAGGGAGGAAGGTTTTGGGGAAATTTAAAAAATTTTTTGTGGAAAGGGTTTTGGGGAAAGGGGTTAATTTTTTTCCCAATTTGAGTTGGAAAGGGAATAAAATAAAGATTAAAATTTTGGGGGGAAGGGGGGGGGGTGTTAAAAAAGAAAAAATTTTTTTTTGGGGATTTTTTTCCTTTTTTTGGGCCCCTTTTTAGGGGTTAAAATTGGGGACTGGGATTTTAAATTAAAAAAAAAAAAAAAAAAAAAAAGGGGATTTTTAAACCAAATTTAATCCTAAATTATCACTTCCCAAAGAGGGAAGTATGAAAGGGTTTAGATGTTAAAAATTTTTTTTAAAAACTTTTTTTTGGGGACCCCTTTAAAATAAAGGCCATGAATTCCCATTTCAAAACTTTTAATCCCTTAACCCTTTCCCCAAACCTTTTCAAAATATTAGAATTTCCCTCCTTTTAAAATCCAAAAAGCTCCGTCAATCCCCAAAACCATTTGGGTTCCATTTCCCCCTTCCTATCCCAAAAAATTTCCCGCCATCCCCCTGCAATTCCCCCGCCCCTTTCCACAACCAAAACCCTCTTTAACCCCCTTCCCCCCCTTTTTTATAAAAATTTTTTTTTTATTCTCTCCTTGGGGTTTTTTTCCTTTTATTTTAATTTAAATTTTGAGGAAATAATTTTTTTAAAAAAATTATAAAGAATTTTTTTCAATTTAAATATCACTTACCTTTGCTCTGCCTTGATAGTTGAATGTTAGAACATACTCTCCTTTCCTTGTTTCACTTTGTCTAACAAGGAATACACCATGACCTGCAACTGCCTCTTGAAGGACTGCAGCAGCAGCATCACAACGTGATAGTGTGCCATGGAACCAGGGGTAATCCCGCAGACTAGAGTAGAAATCCACATCTGAAGGTACTCGTATATTGACTGTGGAAAGATGAAGTCACCTGTTTTAATTTAGATCTGAAAGAAATGCATATTACTCTAAGAGAAATAATTAATCTACATTACAGGGAAAAAATAGTTCAAAAATAGGTTTTGTGCAATTAATCAATGTGAAACACCTTGCCTGTACATGTGCATGGATGGATGCCTGTATATACTGGGGAAGGAAGGCAGGGTAGGAGTCATCCCCAAAAAGGTTGGGGGTAAAGGAGGTTTTGTGGGCGAGAGGCTTGGACTTCCAGCAAGCATGTGTGAGCATGTTCGATAGGAGTGAATGGAGACGAATGGTTTTTGGGACCTGACAAGCTGTTGAAGTGTGAGCAGGATAATATTTTGTGAAGGGATTCAGGGAAAGCAGTTAGTCGAACTTGAGTCCTGGAAATGGGAAGTACAATGTCTGCACTTTAAAGGAGGGGTTTACGATATTGGCAGTTTGGAGGGACGTCTAAACTGTTGTATCTGAGCACCTCTGCAAAGACAGTGATTATGTATGAGTGAGGGTGAAATTATTGAATGATAATTAAAGTTTTTTCTTTCTGTTTTGGATTTTTTTTCTTTTTGGGTCACCCTTCCTCAGTGGGAAATGGACATGTTAAAAAATAATAATAACAATTAATAATAATAATAAACTGTCACATCTGAGTGCCTCTGCAAAAACAGTAATTATGTATGAGCAGTGATTATGTACGAGCAGTGATGGTGAAAGTGTTGAATGATGATGTCTCATACACATGCAAAATTTCAGGTACATCTTGTTACTTCTACTTACACTTAGGTCACACTACACATATATGTACAAGCATATATATACACACTCCTCTGGGTTTTCTTTCTAGTTCTTGATTTTGTTTATTTCCTCTTACCTCCATGGGGAAGTGGAACAGAATTCTTCCTCCGTAAGCCATGCGTTTTGTAAGAGGCAACTAAAATGCCAGGAGCAAGGGGCTAGTAACCCCTTCTCCTGTATATATTACTAAATGTAAAAGGAGAAACTTTCATTTTTCCTTTTGGGCCACCCCACCTCGGTGGGATACGGCCAGTGTGTTGAAAGAAGAATAATGAGGAGTGAGGGTATTTGTAATCTGAAGGGGCATCTGAACTGTAGTATTGGCATGCCTGTGGCAAGACAGTGATAGTGTGAATGATGGTGAGAGTGTTTCTTTTTTCCTCACCCTACCTTGATGGGAGACAGCCAGTGTTAAAAAAAAAAAAATTATATTTCCACAAGATATGTAGTGTTTTAAAATACTGGATAGCATTTAACAGAACACAGGGAAAGCCCCTTGTTATGCTGAGCATTCAGGCAGCATAAATTCTAACCTAAGACTAACAGGTGGAGGGGATGAATTAGACACATGTGCAATACATAGGTATCTTTATTTTAAAGATATTTTGCCATCACTGTCTTGCCAAGACAGTGATGGAGTGAATGCTGATGAAAGTTAATCTTTTTTGGGCCACCCTGCCTTGGTGGGAGACGGCCGATGTGTTAATAAAAAAAAAATTGCCAATTGTCAATTGGTAGAAATTATATATGGATTATAATCTCTCTATGGGAAAGAAAAAGCCACTGGTTAGCAAAGCATCCTCAAAATTAAGATACCTAGGTCCTGCACATATCTAATGCATCAACCAGTCATTATAGTGTGAGGGGTATTCAATTTTGATCCAAAGCAAGGCCTAACTCAGCTCCAGTTCCTCAGATCAAGAGCCATTGTCCATCGAGGGGTCCCCCTTGAAGCTTATGACATGGAATACATTGTCAAACAAGATTTAATCTAAAAGTTACTTAAATGGAGTTTAATTATATGCCTAATTAATTGTTAATACCTGGAACTACTGAGTACCTATCATTAGGTCAGCAGGAGAAGCAGGTGTAACAAGACTTGTAAATGTCTTCCCTCACCTGGTAATCAAATCCTGGTACTTATAGCTGTGAGATGAACATTCTACTACTAACCCACATGTTTGCCACCTCCCATATTGACATTATTTTATTTTCCTCATCATCACTCATGAAAGACCAACTACTTTATTTTCTCTACCAGGATATTTAATTTTAACTTGATCCTTTACCTTTATTAAATATCCTTATACTGTACCTGTAAATCTGTTTTATTTTTATATTTTCCTCATTTTAGTTTCTCAGCCAATCCTCTAAAATACTAAACTACACTTTTTAAAAACTTAAATAGAACTTACCAGCATCATCACTAGAATAGTCTCCAAGTCCATTTTGAGATCTTGAATGCAGTGAAAGATTGCTTTGTCTTGCAGCAACAATAGATGCCTGCAACAAAAAATGATATATAAGGGTAAGTGAAATAGATGAAGTACGGTTTTTGTGCTTAACTGATAAAATGGAAGACATACTAGCGAAATAGCTAAGAATTTGGTTGACTGGAACAATTTAATTCGCCTAAAATAGGACTCAAAGTGGGCAAAATCACCAATGCATAAATATCGCTGACGCAGCAAAATTCGCAAAAGCGTAATTTCACCAATTTTCCATCAAAATGTTTCACTTTACAGCAATTTTCATTTTACAGCAGTAGCCCAGAACCTAACCTGTTGTATAAGCAGGGCCCTCTTGTATAGATTTACACAATTTTTAAACACACCAGCCATCTCCCACAAAGGTAGGGATAACCCCACCCCCCACAAAAAAAAAGGAGGGAAACACACTTACTATCCTTCATTCAAACAAGACATTTAGGAACAGCTGAAGGTTTACAAACAGTAACTAATAGCACAAACATGTGTGAAACTTACCAACCCCTTGTATTACTGTTTTCTATAAAAAAATATTTTGACTGTTGACTGAAAAGACAGAAATGCAACTTGTTTGTATGTTAGGACCTGCATTGCTATACATTCTGACCTGCTGAGAGCTTGGCGAGGTAGTACCGGGAACTCGTGGGGGAAGGTCTGGTGGATGTTCAGGGCGTTCTGTTAGGTCACCACCACCTAGTGTAGCAGCCAGGGACTGAGAGGATTCATTCTTTACGCTGTACATTGTTGGTCGAAGCTCATAATTTTTAGGCCTGAAAAATAGTTCAATCACTTTTAATTATTAAAAATTTTAATATTACATATAATTATGCTATGGGGGATGCGTTCCAAGACCTACTGCGGATACCCAAAACAGCAGATACTAGTGAAACCTATACTGCATATGTAATATTTTTTGTTCACATACATAACTATGATAAAATTTAATTGATAAATTTTGCACAATAAGTCAAGAATTAGCACTTTTTCACTGATGGGAAGCACTTCATGGCTTCTCTTTGCTTTGAAGAACTTCCACCATCACTACTTTTGTGTTTTGTAGTCATTATTAACCAAAATTAAGGATTATTTTCAGGCTACACTAAACCGAGGATAACTAAAAATGCGGATATCGAACCCACAGATACAGGGGTTCTACTGTACTATGGTATTATATTATTCATTGAGGAACAAATGTTAATATATAGAACTTACTGTTCTTTATCAGTGGAACAGCAGTGAGCAACAATAGTGGTGAGCCAGGTTTTCATGTCATCTTGATCTTGAGCCTCCACTACCCACTCAGTGCCACTATCTGCCTGCAACATATTTGCCAGTATGTCATAATTACATGCTTAACCTTCATATGAATCCAATGAAATGAAGTATAATAATATACTTTTAACAAATTAAATGGTAAGGGCCAAGTCCCATCTACCTTTCAAGAATAAACCAACAATGAGAAATATATGTTTTGCACCATCCTTTAACTGTAAGGTGCATTACCCCAGTCTTTAATGTAAGCTTTTTGAGACAATTATTTGAAACATAATTAAAAACACCAAAAGCATGGTGTGGCATCAGGCCAATATTATACCTATATAAAACTTTCTGTCTGCAGGATAATAATAATGAGAGACAAAGAGAGTCAAGAAATTTCCAGAAATGCTGAAAAATACTCCAAAAATCAGAAATGACTCACTCCCAGGCTGTGGCAACTGAGGTATGAAATTTAACATACAGCACAACAAGGTAACAAATATATGTCTAGCCAACAAGAGGAACATAATGATTATACTGTAGATGGAATGGAAGGTAAGAGAACAACAATAGAGGAGACATAGGGACATAAAGTACATAGAAGAAGAAATTATAAATGTATTCATATCAGAAAAAGCAGAGGGGGTAGCTGGGTGCAACAAATTGGGAAAATAAAGGAAAAAAAGGTGCATGAAAGTTGTGTTAAAAATTTTCAAGATAATAGAGAAAAGACATTGGCTAGGAAAACTCATCTAAAAGAGAAAATTAAGAATCTCTTTTTAACACAATGGCCATTTCCCACCAAGGTAGGGTGACCTGAAAAAGAAACACTTTCACCATCATTCATGCCATCACTGTCTTGCCAAGGAAATCAAGAAACACTTTCACCATCATTAAAGACAAACCAAGGGTATAAGAAGATGAATAAATGAAGATATGATAATGTGCGAGTGTGGTGAAAGTGTTGAATGATGATGAAAGTATTTTCTTTTTGGGGATTTTCTTTCTTTTTTGGGTCACCCTGCCTCAGTGGGAGACGGCCGACTTGTTGAAAAAAAAAAAAAAAAAAAAAAATGAGAAGAAGGAATAGACTAGTCCAAGAAGCCCTAGAGACCACTGGGAAAGAAGACACTATGAGAATGGATGGAAACCAAGAGAATTACCTACACTCTTTTATGAAGATACTCTTCACAAAGGTAACTAAAATTGCATTAAAAAATAATATTACAAGACATAAACAGCTACTGCATTGAGCTCACCTGACACACAACAAAAACTATAAAAGAACAAGGTAGATGTCTTAGTCTCTGCTGTAAGCAGTTGATACAGTGATTGGGAGAAACTGGGATTGTCAGTTGCCATAACCACGTAAATTAGATTAAGAGCATTTCAAAAGATAAAAAAAAATAAAATTAAATGAAACTTTTTACTTTATATATTAATAATGAATTTTGGACCATACTATTTAGGAAAATACACAAAGAATATTAACTTTTTTCAACTCTTCAAAAAATGTACACTGCCTACAAAAATATAACAAATTTAAAAATGATGAAATATAGTGAATTTTGAAAAGTTTAAGGGTTTTCTGTATTTTAAAAAGAATGTATCAGAGATAGAAAATTTACTTTAAATTTCAAATTTTATCACAGCTTTGGCTCACCTTAATAACAAATGTGTTTCTAAGGTCTGGCATCTCTAAGTCAGTAGTTTCTCTGGCCTCATTTATTGATATGCAGAAGACACCCGTACGTGGCTTCATGCTCTGAAAGTTATTTATTAGCATAAGCGTCAGTTATGACATGTAAAACACAAAAATCATAAAAAAAAAAATTAGGCAAATTAAATGCAAGTAAAATTAAATACGATGAAATTGCTTATGTTTCCTGAAAATAGAAATAAACAGCATATTATATTGTAACATTTTCTATACTACAAAAGAGCTTACCTCCTATCATGTAAAAGAACAGCAACATAATAAATCATATTATTTTGTAAAACTGTGCAATACACCCTCGTGGAATTTTTCCTTATGGTATATCTGTCTCACATTCAGAGAATGGAGGATCAAGCCTCCACCACGTCTTGTGCTGAATGACCCACATGGGTTTAGTGCTTAACATGAATTGAAAAAAAAAAATCTTTGTATGGATCATACAGCATGGGAGAAGAAAACTTTGAATTAACCTACAGGAGAAGCCACACTAACCAGAAACTGCCCCTGACTTGTGAAACAAACCCCAGTTGCTGCATACCTTAGGAGGAGCATAGAACTCGAGCATGTGGCCAGCAGCGACCTTGAGTAGGGCCATACGACACTTGAGCCAGTGAGGGCGCCCCTCCTGAGTGTCCCCAGCCAGCAGATGCACTGTGCCCTCCCGTGCACACTCCACCGTCACTTTCACCACACGACCTTTGTGTCGCTCAGGCTTCGCCTGCTTGTCATGGTGAGGCGACAGTTCTACCTCATCCGAGTGCTGCTTCAGGAAGATTTTACCTTTCTTGAGCCCCTTGAAGGAGAGTCTCCTGAAGAAGGGTTTATGGGAGACCTTAGGTGAGGGAGACTCTCCGCCTTCATCACTAGCTGCTGCTTCCAGTATGTCGTCGGCCGAGGCCGACCTGGTGCCGGCCACCCCGGCCGAGACCGACCTGCTGCTGGCCACCCCGGCTGAAACTAACCTCGTGCTGGCCACTCCTGCTGAAATTGACCTGCTGCTGGCCACAGTGGCCGAGGCTGACCTGGTGGTGGTGACAGTGACCGAGGTTGACCTGGTGGCAGCCACAGCCCCCAGGCCATTCCTCACCTTGACTCCATTACCAGGACTAAGCAAGGCCTGCTCTAAGTGACCTGGGAAGAGTTCTGCAAACTTGTGTGCGAGTTCCTTGTGCTCCAGCTGTCGGCACTGTGCCTGCAGTGTCACGAACACCCTCCAAGACCTGACGAAGTCTGCTGCAGCACTCCTGGCCTGCTGATCACAGAAGTCTTCCCAGTCATGGCTGCTGTTCTCTGCCTCCGTGTCTGCTGCAGTAGCCATGCTGGGTCTCGTGCATGGCCTCTCTCCGCCCTCACCTGGGAATAACCTCCTCAGGCCGTAAAATCGACACCATCCTTTAAATATTTTGCCTGGAGTCTTCCTTGCCTAGGTTAAACTCACACCTCCATCTTTGCTGCAATCATCACTAATGTTTACATGCCAATATTCCACTCAATTAAACTTTTTTTAATTGCATTCATTTACTCAATGATTGCTATTATATTATTATTGTGTAATATAAGAAATGAATATGGTAATTTTATTTATTAATAGGGGTTTATATTTTCCAAGAAAAGACCTACTTTTGACCTTCTCCTCCACCATAATATTTAGCAGCAGGATAAATCAGGCTCATCTCAATTATCATTGACTTTTTATGTGTAGGTGATCCTGTATGCAATTACATATGTTAATTTTTAATGTGTTCATATATTACGGTTTGCTAATAATCCTGAATATTCATAGAGTTAGTAGCAGTGCAATAATAAACCATTTATTGTTCCAAAGGGCGTTCCCACTATTTGAAAACTGCCTCCAAATATTCACTTAGATAATTATAAACCCAAAAATGCGTATCATTCAATGTATACACACCTGAGAGTTTACTGTTATCACTATTTAAGGGGTTAAAGTACCCTAGCAGCCATCAATGGAGGGTTTTGCTGTGTCTACACTCCTAAATACTACTTATCTACACTAAAACACTATCTTCACTACTAAACATTATTTATCTTCACTAATAAACACTGTTCATCTTCACTGATAAACACTACTCACCTTCACTAATAATCACTTCATCTTCACTAATAAGCACTGCTCATCTTCACTAATAAACACTACTCACCTTCACTAATAAACATTGTTCATCTTCACTAATAAACACTGCTCATCTTCACTAATAAACACTACTCACCTTCACTAATAAACACTGTTCATCTTCACTAATAAACACTGTTCATCTTCACTAATAAACACTGTTCATCTTCACTAATAAACACTACTCACCTTCACTAATAAACATTTCATCTTCACTAATAAACACTGCTCATCTTCACTAATAAACACTGCTCACTTCACTAATAACAGTTCATCTTCACTAATAAACATTCTTATCTTCACTAATAAACACTATTCACTTCACTAATAAACATTGTTCATCTTCACTAATAAACACTGTCATCTTCACTAATAAACACTGCTCATCTTCCTAATTAACTGACAGCATCTCGCCAACCCCCGCGCCGCCCTATAACACCTCCCTTGGATCACTGATAAACCCACTGTTCTGCTGCACTAATAAACTACGGCACAGCCCGGCTAATCAGAAACTGACTTATAAGTAACTTTCATGCCACTATGAAATCCTAGGTCGTTTTCCCTAATAAACATTACTCACCTTCACTAATAAACACTGTTCATCTTCACTAATAAACACTGTTCATCTTCACTAATAAACACTGTTCATCTTCACTAATAAACATACTCATCTTCACTAATAACACACTACTCACCTTCACTAATAAACACTATCATCTTCACTAATAAACACTGTTCACCTTCACTAATAAACACTGCTCATCTTCACTAATAAACATTACTCATCTTCACTAATAAACACTACTCATTTTCACTAATAAACACTACTCACCTTCACTAATAAATACTTCATCTTCACTAATAAACACTGTTCATCTTCACTAATAAACACTGCTCATCTTCACTAATAAACACTGCTCATCTTCACTAATAAACACTGTTCATCTTCACTAATAAACACTGCTCATCTTCACTAATAAACACTGCTCATCTTCACTAATAAACACTACTCATCTTCACTAATAAACACTGCTCATCTTCACTAATAAACACTGTTCATCTTCACTAATAAACACTGTTCATCTTCACTAATAAACACTACTCATCTTCACTAATAAACACTACTCACCTTCACTAATGAACACTGTTCATCTTCACTAATAAACACTGTTCATCTTCACTAATAAACATCTACTCCATCCTTCACTACTAATAAACACTGTTCATCTTCACTAATAAACACCATTTACATTCATTCACTAATAAACACTGTTCATCTTCACTAATAAACACCACTCATCTTCACTAATAAACATTACTCTTCTTCACTAATAAACACTGCTCATCTTCACTAATAAACACTACTCATCTTCATAATAAACACTACTCATTTTCATAATAAACACTGCTCATCTCTACTAATAAACACTACTCATCTTCATAAACACTATTCATCTTCACTAATAACCACTATTCATCTTCACTAACACTACTTATCTTCACTAATAAACACTACTCATACTTTCACTAAAAAACCTATTCATCTTCATAACATACCTTCACTAATAAACACTGCTCATCTTCACAATGAACACTATTCATCTTCACTAATAACCACTATTCATCTTCACTAACACTACTTATCTTCACTAATAAACACTAATCATCTTCACTAATAACCATTACTCATCATCATAATAAACACTATTCATCTTCACTAATAATCACTATTCATCTTCACTAGCTACCTGTACCTAAAAAATATAATAATAATAATAATAATAATTAATAATAATAATAATAATATAATAATAATAATAATAATAAAATAACTCAGCTCCTGGCCCCGCCTCTTCACTGAGTGCTACTAGGTCCTCTCCCTGCTCCATGAGCTTTATCACTACCTCATCTTAAAGCTATGTATGATTCCTGCCTCCACTACCTCACTTGCTAGACTATTCCACTTCTTGACTACGCTATGACTAAAGAAATACTTCCTTACATCCCTTTGACTCTTCTGGGTCTTCAACTTCCAATTGTGACCCCATGTTTCTGTGTCCCCTCCCTGGAACATCCTGTCTTTGTCCACCTTGTCTATTCCACGCAGCATTTTGTATGTCGTTTTCATGTCTTCCCTGACCCTCCTGTCTCCAGTGTCGTCAGGCCGCTTTCCCTTAACCTTTCTTCGTAGGACATTCCCCTTAGCTCTGGAACTAGCCTTGTCGCAAACCTTTGCGCTTTTTTTAATTTCTTGACGTGCTTGATGAAGTGTGGGTTCCAAACAGGTGCTGCATACTCCAGTGTGGGCCTGACGTACGCGATGTATAGTGTCTTGAACGATTCCTTACTAAGGTATCGGAACGCTGTTCTCAGGTTTGCCAGGCGCTCATATGCTGCAGCAGTTATCTGGTTGATGTGTGCTTCCGGAGACATGTTCGGTGTTATACTCACCCCAAGATCTTTCTCCTTGAGCGAGGTTTGCAGTCTTTGGCCACCTAGCCTATACTCCGTCTGCGGTCTTCTGTGCCCTTCCCCAATCTTCATGACTGCATTTGGCGGGGTTAAATTCGAGAAGCCAGTTGCTGGACCAGGTGTCCAGCCTGTCCAGGTCTCTTTGAAGTCCTGCTTGATCCTCATCTGATTTAATTCTCCTCATTAACTTCACATCATCTGCAAACAGGGACACTTCTGAGTCTAACCCTTCCATCATGTCATTCACATATACCAGAAATAGCACTGGTCCTAGGACCGACCCCTGTGGGACCCCGCTCGTCACAGGTGCCCACTGTGATACCTCATCACGTACCATGACTCGTTGTTGCCTCCCTGTCAGGTATTCTCTGATCCATTGAAGTGCCCTTACTGTTATACGCGCCTGATCCTCTAGGAAAATCCTAGAGGGACTAGTACCGAACTTGCACACGAAAATCACCCACTACGAACGCAAAACACTTGGCAGACGATGCAGCATCCCCCCAATGAAAAGCAGGGTGTCACTAAGCAAAGTTAATAGACCATTACAATAATGTCATGGGCCCGAGACTTTCAATGCCTCCCAGCACTCATAAGGGATTTACCACAGACCCCTGGCAGTCTTCAAGCAGCACTGGACAAGCACCTAAAGTCAGTTCCGGATCAGCCGGGCATGTGGCTCGTATGTTGGTTTGCGTGCATCCAGCAGCAACAGCCTGTTTGATCAGTCTGATCCACGAGGAGGCCATGGCTCAGACAGGGCCGCGGGGGCTTTGACTCCCCGTAACTCTCTCCAGGTAAACCCAGGTAATCTCCTGAGAAGTTGTCAAAGAATCCAAGAAGTGCAATCAACCCACCTCTCTCTCTCGTAACTACATTTGTTATACCGAATAAAACTTACTAGTAAAAACCAATCATCTTTGGCCACTAACTTCTTGTACTCTTATTCATTTATGTATTTTTAAATTTTGTTAAATCATCGATATTAAGGGTTATTAACTATGAGAGCCACAGTTACTTTATACTCTTCATAGGTCACACATAACAGGGGGAGAGAATATTATAATTTACAGAGAACATTATAGTTTACAGAGAATATAATAATTTACAAAGAATATTATAGTTTACAGAGAATATTATAATTTACAGAGAACATTATAGTTTACAGAGAATATTATAATTTGCAGTTGTCAATTTTTAAGCAAAAGAAAACTCAATAGGCAGTTGAAGTGAGTGCTCACCCTCTCTTTTACAGCTTATGTTTTTTATATAAATCTTTCTTATTTTATCGTTCACGATGCTATATATTCGTAAAAAATATGTAATTAGCAATAGGAGAAAGCCACATTGTGTTAGAATCATTTGTTAGCTTGTGTTATGAGATAAATGAAGATAGAAATGTTGAGTGTGTGTGGGATGTTGGGTGGTTGTAAGAGCCAGATAGTTAGCCGTCAGGAGTCCAGGGAGGAGGAAGCTGTTATCTTAACACTCTTTACAACACACACCAGGTAAATAGTTACATAATATCCATTGTCCTCTGCTAAATAACTCGAATTTGTGTGTTAGATGAGTGTAGTGATGGTGTTGGGCGAGGTATAAGTGAGGAGTGATGGAGGATGACCCACCCAACCCGACATTACTGCCTCGCCCACCCACCCACTCTTAGTGTTTCGGCTTATTTGTTAATATTATCATTTCTCCAGGTGATGTGCTGCCTCTACGAGTGCTGAAATGATTCTAAAAGGTCGCATCTTGGCTATGGCGAAGTGGTTATAATTTGCGAAATGGTTAAAGGTCTTTAAACTTTGGTGGATGACATCATTATGTATTACCGTCCATTGACTTTATACTTACTACACACCTCTTGTGTATAACACAGTGCTTATTATTACACCTTTGTACCCTACATTCTTAGTTACTTATTCCATCATGACTTGTTCATTATTGAATAGCAGTTGTCAGCTGTAAAGTGAAGAGAAAGGTGGTAGTAGTGGGTCAAGGATGTTTTAATCCGCCGGTGCTAGACTCTTGATTAACATTTACTACTTTATATGTCTCCCATGATTCAATTATTAAATATCAGTAATAATCTTGGTTCAGTGGTACTTCCTAGTGTAATTGTTAACGTTAATAGGAAGAAGAGTTCTTGATTCAGCTAAAAGTTAGCTGGGCGGGGCCGCTTCCGGTTGTCAAGTCATAATTTCGTGCAACTTTTTCTTCTGTAGCTTTGAGACGTTCTTATCTCTACTGTACTTAAAATTAGAAGTGACTCATCATTTTCATTTTATTTTAGAAGCAGTATTCTGAATTAAAACTGACGCAATGTGATATTGAGGGGTAAAATGTAGCGGTAATTGGTAATTCAAGTTGCTCAGTCTGCCTGTCTCGTCCTAAATCCCTCCATGGCAGCTATGGGTGTGGCATCCAGAAATACTTTGCCACCCTGAGGAGAGATACTGTGTGCCACTACATGCCTATTATCATAATATAGCCAAAGCTAATCTTCCACTTACTGTTTAGGGTGATAATATAATACTGTATCATTCATTCAGTTTTTTCCCCCTGTTCTTTCTAAAACTTCTTATGCCTGTAAAATATCCTTTCCAATTTAGGAGACCTGGGTGGTGCTGCGATTCTCAGAACCGTGTACTTACCTGTAACTTAATGTGTTAAGGACCCCAATGGAAATAAGTCGCTTTGACTTATTCTTTTATTTGTTTTTGGTAAATAATTACTTATTTACAGTATGATAATTGTGCTTATGTGTACCTGTGGCTAAATAAACCTATTAATAAAGCAAAGTAGTATGGGTTATTTACATTGGGATCATTTCCTAGGATGTGACATTATATAGTGTGGAAACTTTCCAGTATTCTACTTAATTAATGTGGGCAGCATGTATATAAGGAAACCTACTTGTGTGTGTTGCCCAGCCCAGGACTAAGGCATCTAAGGTGCTGTTTGTGGGTAATTTTAGCAAGAAGTTTAATGTTTTATACTGGATTTGTGTATTATATATTGCATGTCTTTCCTAATTTGCAGTATTTGGGCAGAACGTGCATATGGTACACTGCATAGATATCTTATCATAAGCTGACCTTATCTTACCAACTGGCTGTACATTCCATTCACATTACATAACATCTCAAATTTGTTGGATTTTATCAACCCTTTTACCATTGTTTCTCTAAGATTTTTTAATCAGTTTAATGATGCTGCACATATAGAAGTAGCAATACTTCATTCATTCATTCATTCATTGTGTTCATGCATATCTTTACATTAAATCACAAAGTGATGAAGTTCTTCAATAAAAAGGTAAAACTGGTTTGCTTTCAAGGGATAACAATGCAAAGCAATATATGTAAATATTACTGTATTAATTTGCTGTTAAACATTAATGGTACTGTAGTAGGCCAACTGTAAAATTGGCCTACGACAGTAGTATAAGGAAAACAAAACCAGTTTCATCATTACACACATTAAGTCAATTCTAAACCATATTTTTAATGCAATATGGTTTAGAATTGACCTGGAAATTTTAATCTTGTCAGTTCTGCAAGTTTTTTTAAACTAATGTTTATCCATTTACTATTATTTGTTTGATTTCACTTTGAGGTACAGTATATGTTCGGTATGTTAAGATGTCATGATAGGAGGGATCCTGGCCCAGGGCTGGGCTGTGGGAATAGGAAAATTCTCATCTATTCAATGCTTATCAAAGGTATAAGATGTGGGCCTGAGTAACACAGTATCTTTTTGGCATACCCCATTAACCCTTTGAGGGTCGACAGGCCCTCTCCGAAACTCGTTCTCAGGGTCGGCCAAATTTCAAAAAAAAAAAAAATTATTTTTTCTTATGAAAAAATAGAGTATTTTTTTTAAACATTATAGGCTAAACAAAAAAATTTTAATGTCAATACTTACCGAGATATGGAGGTGTGAAAATTTGCCAAAATTGAACAACATTGGTAACATCGCCGACTGCCGTCACCCGGTATTTTTCTATTTACTTATTTATGTACTATTTTCAATTATTTTTCAATTTTTCTTTTTCTGAGTAACTTTTATGGCCTCTGAGGCCAACATGATCAGTATTTTTGTAAGTTATTTCTTTTTCAATACTACACAATAAGGGCGTAAACACTGTTGTCATTATTTTGTTTACAGAAAAATATTTACACAAACAAACAATATGAAATGTTGTTTATTACTATTTTTCTATATTTTTATATACACATATACAGTCACAGGACATGTTTCTAGAAGTTCTGCAGCCTGTGGAAGTCTTTGAAACATGTGTGTCATGCACAGTGGAGTTTTGCACTCCTCACACATAAAACGAGTGTCTCTGCGTTGTTGTGGGCGTTTTTTTGTATGTGAACAGACATAACACCTCTTCTGAGCCTTTTTCTTCAAAGCAGTAGCAGGCAGTTTTACCAGGAAGTGATCACCATGCTTCAGACGAGCAGGTAGTTGTTTGATAATTTGGTGGGCGGTCAATTGCAGGTGCATTTCCTTGGTACTTGAATACTATTTGTCTGATGACAGACAAACAGAATTCGCCGTACTGTGGTTTGTTTCTGGTGCTCATCTTATACATATTATAAGCATTGAGCATGGAAATGTCCAGAAGATGGAAAAACAGTTTGATGTACCACTTATAACTCTTGCGAACACAATCAGCAAACCCAATCTGCATGTCACATTTGTCCACTGAACGCATTTGAAGGTGTAATCAATCACAGCTGCAGGTTTTAGAATGGGTTCATTTCTCTCTCTATGCTGCCTGCCACTGTCTGCCATTTCATTAGGGTGAATTGATGACAACAGTGTGACATCTCGTTTGTCATGCCACCGAAATGCCATGATGTCATTGGCAGCAAACGCCTGCACCTCACCTCTGCGAGTGCCAGCGTCAAACCTGGGCATATGTTTTCGATTTGCACGCACTGTGCCACACACATCTGTCATGTTCACTCGCAAAAAATCACTGAGTGAGGGGCTTGTTTACCAGTTATCTGTATATAATATATGCCCCTTACCAAGGTTGGTTCTATCATTGTTCGAACCACATCACCTGAGATGCCCAATAACTTCCTGGTATTTTGCAATGTATAACTTCCAGTGTACACAATAATATCCAATACCAGACCACTGTAACAATCACAAAGCACAAACAACTTTATACCAAAGCGTTTCCTCTTGCTTGGTATGTACTGCTTGAAAGAGAGTCTTCCTTTGAACAGAATCAAAGACTCGTCAATTACAAGCTTCCTGAAGGGATAAAAATGAGTACTGAATTTCTGTTTCAGATACACAAACACATTCCTAATCTTATATAACCTGTCAGTTCTGTCAGGCCTGGTTTTATCTGAGAAGTGAAGCATACATAACATTAGCACAAATCGATTCACTGGCATTATATCACTGAAACCTGGTGTTGCAATCAGGGGCTGTTGACCAGTATGATTTCACTTTGTGCTTATACACATGTGGCATAAGCATTATTGTGGCAAAGAAAAGATACATCTCAGCCACAGTTGCCTCCTTCCATTGGTGTAGACGTGATTTTGGTGAAAGTATTGTGTTTTGCCATGGTGTAACTCGTAGTATGTGTTGCTTTCCATGACAATACTTTTCATCAGTGGTTCGTCAAAGAATAACTCGAAACATTCCAGTTCAGTGGCATTGTTCCCAAGTGCACAAGATGGCCGTATTCCACTTTGGCTGCCATCAAACTGGTGGGATTTGGAACAAAATTGACAGCTTCCTGCCAATCCCAGGTGCGGTCTGCTGGTGGGTACTGGACAATGACAGGTGGTTGTGGTTGTGGAGGTTGTGGTTGTGGAGTGGTCTGGTGTGTGTGGGGGAGGTGGGGGAATGCTGGCCTTTGTTCTAGATCAGCTGAGGCAGCGGCGTGGGTGGCAGCGTGGGTGGCAGCATGGCCCACTGCTGGTGCCTCACCACCGGCACCACTACCACCACGCACATTTTCCATCCCAATTGCAACAGTATCTTCGTCATTTTCACTGTCTGTTCCTGTTGTACAGCCACGGGATGTACTCCGAGATACTCTCCTTCCCCTTGGTAAAACATATGGCACACTTCCAGAGCGCATATATCGTCGTATATACTGACGCTTCACTGGGGAATATTGCACTTCACTATCACTACTGGAACTAGTTTGAAGAGCTTGTAGTTCATATTCACTATCACTATCATCACCCATGCTCTCATCTGAGTCTGGGATTTGGGAAAATAGAAGTTTCCTCTTGGGTTCTGGAACAACTGAACGTGAACACGAGGGCCCCAGCACCAGAGGTGGAAGGCTGAGGGTCGTCTGGGTTTTCTTCACTATTACCGATATTATGGTCATTAGTTTCGGTCAAAACTCACTAAAACCACGAAACTCATCTTCAATGGCATTTCCATCACTATTAGAACTGTCACTGGGGAACAAAAGTGTCCCAATTCGCCGAGGAGTGAGGAGCTTCTTACCGCGAGGCATGGTGGACATTGTTTACTAAGAGGGCATTCCCACAATGCACCACTGGGTCCCAGATTTTTTTTCTACCGCGCACACTGACCACGCAGACCCATTCTCTCACACCTAGGCCTACCAGCCTTTTCGCGCGAGATTTGAGGCCGCTAGAATTTATGCGTACTAGTACGTCAAAAACCCCTACGCGTAAGACGTACTAGTACGACGAAAACCCTCAAAGGGTTAATTAATAGTGAAAATGTTTGCTTTGTCTAAATTTTCTGATGTGGTCAGTGATAAGGAAAGAATTAGGGACATGGATTGTGGACTTTACAAAATAGACCCAATAGTTTTGTTTTGTGGTTATTTAGTATCAAGTGAAAATTGGAAATATTAGAAATGGAATTTGTAAAGTGCCTGGTGGCTAAAGCTCCTGTTTCACACACGGAGGGCCTGGGTTCGATTCCCGGCGAGTAGAAACATTTCAACACGTTTCCTTACACCTGTTGTCCTGTTCACCTAGTATCATGTGGGGTTCGAACACGTGGATAGGGTAAAGAAATACTCGCGTAGGCTGGTAGTACGTATAATTATAACGGTGAGTATTGGTAGGCGCCAAACAGCCGGTGACCTGCCTCCTTGCTCTCTCTCGTAAGACTGACTAACCCCAGTACCCATATGTGAGGGGGGTGTTTGAAATACTGCTGTGGTCAGCAACAATATGAATACAGACAGTGATTCACGCAGAGACGGTTGGTAGTGAGTCATCTACTGGTACACTGGTTACTGGTAACTGGTTACTACTACTGAGACTAGCAGCAAATAGGTACCTGGGTGTTAGTCGAGTAGTGTGAGTCGAATCCTGGGGGACAAGATTAAGGACCCCAATGGAAATAAGTTAGACAGTCCTCGATGACGCACTGACTTTCTTGGGTTATCCTGGGTGGCTAACCCTCCAGGGTTAAAAATTCAAAGACAATCTTATCTTAAATATAAAAACTATTCTTGTGCTTTGTAAATAGATAAGAGAGAGAGAGAAGATTTTCTTCGGATTTTTAACCCCTGAGGGTTAGCCAACCAGGATAACCCAAGAAAGTCGGTGCGTCATTGAGGACTGTCTAACTTATTTCCATTGGAGTCCTTAATCTTGTCCCCCAGGTTGCGACCCACACCAGTCGACTAACACCCAGGTACCTATTTGCTGCTAGGTGAACAGGACAACAGGTGTAAGGAAACGTGTCAAAATGTTTCCACCTGCCGGAATCGAACCCGGGCCCTCCGTGTGTTTACCTGGAGTTTACCTGGAGAGAGTTCCGGGGGTCGACGCCCCCGCGGCCCGGTCTGTGACCAGGCCTCCTGGTGGATCAGAGCCTGATCAACCAGGCTGTTACTGCTGGCTGCACGCAAACCAACGTACGAGCCACAGCCCGGCTGGTCAGGAACCGACTTTAGGTGCTTGTCCAGTGCCAGCTTGAAGACTGCCAGGGGTCTGTTGGTAATCCCCCTTATGTATGCTGGGAGGCAGTTGAACAGTCTCGAGCCCCTGACACTTATTGTATGGTCTCTTAACGTGCTAGTGACACCCCTGCTTTTCATTGGGGGGATTTTGCATCGTCTGCCAAGTCTTTTGCTTTCGTAGTGAGTGATTTTCGTGTGCAAGTTCGGTACTAGTCCCTCTAGGATTTTCCAGGTGTATATGATCGTGTATCTCTCCCGCCTGCGTTCCAGCGAATACAGGTTTAGGAACCTCAAGCGCTCCCAGTAATTGAGGTGTTTTGTCTCCGTTATGCGCGCCGTGAAGGTTCTCTGTACATTTTCTAGGTCAGCAATTTCACCTGCCTTGAAAGGTGCTGTTAGTGTGCAGCAATATTCCAGCCTAGATAGAACAAGTGACCTGAAGAGTGTCATCATGGGCTTGGCCTCCCTAGTTTTGAAGGTTCTCATTATCCATCCTGTCATTTTTCTAGCAGATGCGATTGATACAATGTTATGGTCCTTGAAGGTGAGATCCTCCCGACATGATCACTCCCAGGTCTTTGACGTTGGTGTTTCGCTCTATTTGTAGCCAGAATTTGTTTTGTACTCTGATGAAGATTTAATTTCCTCGTGTTTACCATATCTGAGTAATTGAAATTTCTCATCGTTGAACTTCATATTGTTTTCTGCAGCCCACTGAAAGATTTGGTTGATGTCCACCTGGAGCCTTGCAGTGTCTGCAATGGAAGACACTGTCATGCAGATTCGGGTGTCATCTGCAAAGGAAGACACGGTGCTGTGGCTGACATCCTTGTCTATGTCGGATATGAGGATGAGGAACAAGATGGGAGCGAGTACTGTGCCTTGTGGAACAGAGCTTTTCACCGTAGCTGCCCCGGACTTTACTCTGTTGATGACTACTCTCTGTGTTCTGTTAGTGAGGAAATTATAGATCCATCGACCGACTTTTCCTGTTATTCCTTTAGCACGCATTTGTGCGCTATTATGCCATGGTCACACTTGTCGAAGGCTTTTGCAAAGTCTTTATATATTACATCTGCATTCTTTTTGTCTTCTAGTGCATCTAGGACCTTGTCGTAGTGATCCAATAGTTGAGACAGACAGGAGCGACCTGTTCTAAACCCATGTTGCCCTGGGTTGTGTAACTGATGGGTTTCTAGATGGGTGGTGATCTTGCTTCTTAGGACCCTTTCAAAGATTTTTATGATATAGGATGTTAGTGCTATCGGTCTGTAGTTCTTTGCTGTTGCTTTACTGCCCCCTTTGTGGAGTGGGGCTATGTCTGTTGTTTTTAGTAACTGTGGGACGACCCCCGTGTCCATGCTCCCTCTCCATAGGATGGAAAAGGCTCGTGATAGGGGCTTCTTGCAGTTCTTGATGAACACTGAGTTCCATAAGTCTGGCCCAGGGGCAGAGTGCATGGGCATGTCATTTATCGCCTGTTCGAAGTCATTTGGTGTCAGGATAACATTGGATAGGCTTGTGTTAACCAAATTCTGTGGCTCTCTCATAAAAAATTCATTTTGATCTTCGACTCTCAGTCTGGTTAGAGGCTTGCTAAAAACCGAGTCATATTGGGACTTGAGTAGCTCACTCATTTCCTTGCTGTCATCTGTGTAGGACCCATCTTGTTTAAGTAGGGGCCCAATACTGGACGTTGTTCTCGACTTTGATTTGGCATAGGAGAAGAAATACTTTGGGTTTCTTTCGATTTCATTTATGGCTTTTAGTTCTTCCCGCGATTCCTGACTCCTATAAGATTCCTTTAGCTTAAGTTCGATGCTTGCTATTTCTCTGACCAGTGTCTCCCTACGTGGGAGCTTGAGCCACCTGGCCACAGGGCCACAAATTACTTTGGTTTTCTTTATAGTCTATGGATGGGTCTCAGAATTAGTGTCCACTGCTGAAATCTGTCATAAGGATGCTGTTTAGAAAGTTACATGCAGCTAAGGGCTTTTGTTCCTCTGAAATTAATGTGTGCTTTGAGTGTGGTTCCTTGATTGCATTGTAAGGCTCATGTCTAAGCAAAAATTGCTGCAAAAATTGTTATTTGTTCAGTCAAATCAGGAATTTCATTTTGTGATTATTATTACTTTAAAATTTTTCAGATTTTGTGCTTTTGACTTTCAGCCAAATCAGAATTGTGAACACCATCTTTGGCTGAAAATAGAGCAGTTTCCACAAGTTGATGCACAAACAAAAGTAGTGGTTTGAACAAAGTTTTAAGTTGCAAAGAAAGAGCATTCTTATGGAAGCCAAAATGGAGGGAAACGTTGTGGTTAAGGAAGTGCGAATCTTGGAGACTGCCGAGGACATCCAAGATAGACGTGACCAAGTGCTCTCAAGATATTCCCAGTTCCGAGCGGAAGCACGTCTTAAGAGGGATAAGTTGGAAGACTCCCGGAAATTCCAAGTAAGAATGCAATTTTTTATTTTAGTGTATGTGATGAATTTTGTTTAATTATTTAAAACTCATAATTTGACATAACATTTAAATATTATCAACTAAATTAATTACTGTATACTGAATGTTTTATGTACAGTACTGAAAACTAATAACTTAACATTTTAAGAAATTTATATTGTTCATTTTTTATTTTAGTATTTCAAACGTGATGCTGATGAATTGGAATCATGGATCCATGAGAAACTTCAGGCTGCCTCTGATGAGAGCTACAAAGACCCCACCAATCTCCAGGCTAAGATTCAGAAGCACCAAGCTTTTGAAGCTGAGGTTGCAGCACACTCCAATGCTATTGTTGTTCTGGATAACACTGGCTCTGAAATGATTAACCAACAACACTTTGCTTCAGATATCATCAGGCAGAAACTGGGTAAATATCTTTTATCAATCTTTTCCAGGTTATCAGTTGATCCATTTAGCTTTACTAATTGATTATAACCTTTGCTGTTCTAAATCATTTTAGTCTGTACTAAGTAGACATTTACATGTATCTTGCCGAGTGATGGTAATTGTTTAAAAAAATAGAAGGGCAAGTAAATCTTAAGATTTATAATATGTATAGTCATAATTAGATTAAAATCATAATTATAAGAAACTCGAGGTTGATTAAATAAGATTTTGAAAGACATTGATGACAATTATGCTGTACCATACTCCACAAGAGGTGGTGTATGGTACAGTATAATTAAAATGCAGGCACTGTATTTTCCACCTCCAGGACTCTAGTCTGGCTAACCAGTTTCCCCAAGTCCCTTCATTAACGTTACCTTGCTCGTGCTCCACCACTACATCAAGATTGTAAAAACCACTTGACTCCACTCCTACCTAACATGCTCACTCACTTGTTTGCTGTTCAGGCTCCTCTCATACAAAACCTTTACTGCTATTCTTCAACTTTTCCTAGGATTACTACTACTCTGCCTTCCCTCGACTTCAGATTCAGATTTATACACCTTCCAATTCCAGATTTATTAGTCAGGGAAATATACTTAATGTAATATATGAATGCTTTATTTTGCTTCAGATGAACTTCACCGCCTGTGGGAGTTGCTCCTGAGCCGCCTGGCAGACAAAGGAATGCGTCTCAATCAAGCCTTAGTTTTGGTGCAGTTCCAGCGTCAGTGTGATGAAGTTATGTATTGGATTAATGACAAGGAAACTTACGTTACTTCAGAAGAGTTTGGTGTTGATCTGGAGCACGTGGAGGTCCTCCAGCGTAAGTTTGATGAGTTCCAAAAGGATATGGCTGCCCAGGAGTACCGTGTCACAGAAGTAAATGCTCTTGCTGAGAAGCTGGTAGCAGAAGGACACCCAGAGGTGGAAGTTATCACAAAGCGCAAGAAAGACCTGAATGAAGCTTGGCAGCGCCTGCGCCAACTTGCTATTACTCGGCAGGAGAAGCTCTTTGGTGCACATGAAATTCAGCGTTTTAATAGGGATGCAGACGAGACCATTGCTTGGATTGCAGAGAAAGACGTTGTACTCTCTTCTGATGACTACGGTCGTGACCTAGCCTCAGTACAGACTCTTCAGCGTAAACATGAGGGTCTTGAGCGTGACCTGGCTGCCTTAGAGGATAAAGTATCAACCCTAGGAGAAGAAGCCACACGTCTGTGTGGCATCCACTCTGATCATGCTGAACAAACAAAGGCAAAATTAGCAGAGATTGAACATTCTTGGTCCACACTTACAGCAAAGGCTCAGGAACGTCGTCGTCGTTTAGACGATTCATACTATTTGCATCGTTTTCTCTCTGATTTCCGTGATTTGATTTCTTGGATCAATGATATGCGTGCCATCATTTCAGCTGATGAGCTTGCTAAGGATGTGGCTGGAGCTGAAGCTCTACTTGAACGTCACCAAGAGCACAAGGGTGAAATTGATGCCCGTGAAGATAGCTTCAAGACTACCCATGAGGCAGGAGAAAAGCTTGTTGAGAAAAATCATCATGCTTCTGAGGAAGTAAAGGAAAAACTAAGCACCCTTACTCAAGAAAAAGCTGCTTTACTGGCCTTGTGGGAAGAACGTCGCATATTGTATGAGCAGTGTATGGATTTGCAACTTTTTTATCGTGATACAGAACAGGCTGACACTTGGATGGCCAAGCAAGAAGCTTTTCTTGAAAATGAAGATTTAGGAGATTCAATTGATTCAGTTGAAGCTCTGATCAAGAAGCATGAAGACTTTGAGAAGTCACTTGCTGCTCAGGAAGAAAAGATAAAGGCTTTGGATGAATTTGCTACAAAGTTAATTGAAGGGCAGCATTATGCTGCAGATGATGTTTCTCAGAGGCGCGAACTTCTACTGGAACGTCGCACTGCCTTGCTTGACATGTCTGCACGTCGCCGTACTATGCTAGAAGATTCGTATCGTTTACAGCAGTTTGAACGTGACTGTGATGAAACCAAAGGTTGGATCAATGAGAAATTGAAATTTGCTACAGATGACAGTTATTTAGACCCAACCAACTTAAATGGGAAAGTTCAGAAGCATCAGAACTTTGACCAAGAGCTAAGTGCTAACAAGTCCCGTATTGAAGAGATAACTTCGACTGGAAAAGAGCTGCTCGATGCTGATCATTATGCAAGCGATAAAATCAGCAGTCGCATGGAGGAAATTGTTCAGCTTTGGACTTCCCTGGAGGAGGCAACTCGCAGGAAGGGCTCCAAGCTAGAGGAAGCATCGCAGCAACAGCAGTTTAATCGTGGTGTTGAAGACATTGAGCTCTGGCTTTCTGAAATTGAAGGTCAGCTTATGAGTGAAGACTATGGCAAAGATCTAACTGGTGTACAGAATTTGCTTAAAAAACATGCCTTGCTTGAGGCTGATGTTGGAGCTCACCAGGACAGAATCACTGGTGTCAGAATTGCTGCTGATCAATTTGTAGATCGTGGGCATTTTGATGCCGAGAACATTAAGGCCAAACAAATGACACTTCAGGAACGTTACAATGCCCTTCAAAAGCCAATGACAGTCCGTAAGGAGCGCCTGAAGGACTCCCTCCTTGTACAACAGTTGTTCCGTGATATTGATGATGAAGAGGCCTGGATCAGAGAGAAAGAGCCCATTGCAGCATCCACAAATCGTGGCAGAGATCTTATTGGTGTGCAGAATCTAATTAAAAAGCACCAAGCTGTTCTTGCAGAAATAAATAATCATGAACATAGAATTGTAGCTGTTACATCATCTGGAGAGGAAATGATTAGTGATGGGCACTTTGCAGGAGAGGAAATTAAACAGAGGGTTAATACTTTGAGCCAGCATTGGGCTCAGCTAAAGGAGCGAGCCAACCAGCGCCGTCAGGATCTGGATGATTCTCTTCAGGCTCACCAGTACTTTGCAGATGCTAATGAGGCTGAGTCATGGATGAAAGAAAAAGAACCTATTGCAGGCGGAGGAGACTTTGGCAAAGATGAAGATTCTGCTGAAGCTTTATTGAAGAAGCATGAAGCTCTTATGAGTGATTTGGAGGCTTTCAGTTCAACCATTGCTGCTCTGGATGAACAGGCAGCTGCATGTCGTCAACAGGAAGTACCTGTTATGGATATCACTGGCAAAGAGTGTGTGGTAGCTTTGTATGACTACACTGAGAAATCTCCCAGGGAGGTCTCGATGAAGAAGAATGATGTCTTGACCCTCCTAAATGCTACTAACAAAGATTGGTGGAAAGTAGAAGTGAATGACCGCCAAGGATTTGTTCCTGCTGCTTATGTGAAGAAAATTGATTCAGGTCTTACAGCATCACAACAAAACCTGGCTGATGGCAACTCCATTGCTGCTCGACAAAATCAGATCAAGGTTGGTTTGTTGTTTCTAAAGCTTCATTACTGACACAAATCTAGTTTGAAAGTACAGTGGACCCCCGGTTTACGATCAGCTCCCAATGCGACCAATTATGTAAGTGCGTTTATATGTGTATGTTTGGGGGTCTGAAATGGACTAATCTAATTCACAATATTCCTTATGGGAGCAAATTCGGTCAGTACTGGCACCTGTACATACTTCTTGAATGAAATAATATCGTAAACCAGGGGTCCACTGTACTATAATTTTATTCCTTCATGAAAGTTACCTTTCTCACACTCCAACAGTGTGTTCTGTAAAAACTCCTTACTGTAATTCACTTGTGTTAACATCCCATTATCAAGAACAGGGAAAAATTTTCTTGGGTTGACTATCCTCATTTTCTCTCTAACCCTTTCAGGGTTGGAATCCCTGATCCTAGATTTGCTTTCATAGTTGAAGAATTTAAAAAAAAAAAAAAAAAAAAAAAAAGTTTTCAAATGAAATAATAGAGAATAGTTTCCGAAGGTAATGAAACCAAAAGTATGAAATTTGATGGAAAACATATGGAATTATGCTCTCACAAAGTTAGCGGTCTCAGTGATATCTACACATTGGCGATTTTGTCCACTTTGAGCTCTATTTTCGGCCAATTCCGTTGTTCCAGTCTACCAGACTGCTATTTTGCTAGTACATGTATTTCTTTATTGATTAAGTACAAGAAACTGCCCATTACCTATTTCATCTACCCAATAAAGTGATCAGAAATCAGTAATTTGGCTAATTTCACAAAATTAAAAAATTGCCAACTTAAAAATAGCATCCAGAATAAATAATGTAGGTATTTCTGGTGCTAAAAAAAAAAAAAAAAAAAAAGCATTTCTGCTGTTCATTAGTTATGTCTCCAGGCTTCTTCTATATTATGCTTGCTTTCCATTTTGAATTGTTATTCACAAAAAAAATTAGAAAATTTACTGTTATGGAGACTTGAATTATTGTAATAATTATATAAAATGTCAGTGCATTTCTGAATGCATATTAGACCAACCAGTTGGATGCATATTGAATGAGTGATGTTTGTGTATTCTGTAATATCAGCGAAAATTGAACATTTCCTCTAATTTGAGCTCAATTTCAAGCTACTTTCAGTCTTGAAGCCAATCAAAATCATCTCTATTTCTGTAATATATCTTTTATTCTATCAATGAGACCAAGAAACCAAGAGAATACAACGATGAAAACCATACAAAAATACACCACAGTCATTTGTTTTAAACCAAAAACATGGTTACAATTTTTTTCCTATTCACTGTGTGCTGCAGGATTTTTTTTATATGGTACACACTTAACACGCACAGCCATTCTTTCATATCAAAGCCCAAATTTACTGCACACAACTTAAAAGAGAGTCGATATCATCATTTAGAACTATGGCACTGATTCGCATTTCAAAGCTGTAGTACTATTGCACTCACCCTGAAAGGGTTAATCCAGGCTCTTAAATTTTTTTGAAGTGATTTTAGCACTTACTAAATTTGGTCCTTGAAGGTTATTTTTAAAATGCTACTAATGTTCTAACTACATGTACATTAAACTTGTACTGTAAGTTTAACAAGACAATTTTCAACAGGGTCAGTACGAGAACCTTATGGCTTCAGCCCGTGAGCGCCAAAAGAAGCTGAGTGAGACGGTGCAAGCATATGTGCTTGTACGTGAGGCTGCTGAGCTTGCACAGTGGATAAAGGATAAGGAGCAGCATGCACAGATTGAGGATGTAGGGGAAGATCTTGAACAGGTAAATGCAATGAAACTTTTTATTGATCATCACCCATAGTTGAAGAGGCTTTGATCCATGGAAGTGGACTTGCTTTCAACTGGGAAGGGGTTTACTGTTTAAAATAATGTTACAAAATTGTTCCGATACACTTTGGTAAGATAAGCATACTTATAAGATAAGGATTCCCTTGTTGACCCAGAGCATACATTATCCATTTTTTTATGTCTTTTAACTGTAAACACGAGGGGTCTAATTGCCTTAAGCTGAATTTAAATTTGTTAAGTTGTATATTTACATTATTATACTTTGTCAAAACAGTTGCCTTAACTAAATTATTGATAATTTTTTTTAGGTGGAAGTGTTACAGAAAAAGTTTGACGATTTCAAAACAGATTTGCAAGCTAATGAAGTACGATTGGCCGAGATGAATGAAATTGCCATGCAACTCATGAGTCTTGGTCAGACAGAAGCTGCTCTCAAGATCCAGACACAGATTGAAGAGCTTAACACTAAATGGAACTCTCTCCAACAAATGGCACAGGTTAGTAATAAGGGGCCTATGGCAGCAAATATCTATTGTATTAAAGCATTGAGAATTTTAATAAGAGAATAGTTATACCCCCTCTAATATTGTATTAGGGTGAAAATTCTAGTTTTAAATGTAAAATCTCCAGAATCTAATAATGAACTACTTACTACTGCTTTGCTAGTTCCACTAAATTTCACAAGCATTTTTATTTAAATTGACTTTTTACCATATTAGTCATTTTCCAGTAATGTAGAGAGAATTCCCCCCCCCCCCCCCAAAAAAAAAAAAAGCTCACCTGCAGTTGTTTAATAATGTCTTGCTGGAAGTGCATAGACAGTACAGTTGAAATGATCATCCAAACCGTAATGGTAGCGCCCCTCTAGAGTTTAGGCACTGTACTCCCCACCCTCAGAACTGCCAGTAGTTTCTCTGAATCCCTTTAATATGTTACATTGCACACACTCCAACAGTGTTTTACTTTTCCTTTTTCCTTCGTATACTCTGACCTCCACATATAATTTTTATATTGTAAAGACCTCTTTAATGCTAACTATTACTATTTCCCTTGCCATCCTTTCAACTTTATTATTCCACCAATTGTTCCTCTTCTCACCTGCTCCTACCCTCCTCTAATGACAAACTTCTGTGTACTCGAGCACTGTATTTTCAATCTACCCCATACCTCTGTATTTTAATTTAAATAGTACTATGTATTTTGATAAATGCTTAACAAACGCCAGCATAAAAACAGCGCTCAAGTGATCTCAGGATTGTTACTTTGCACACAGACACAAAGGATAAAATTAATGGATTGTTAATCAGGTATACCCTCCAAAATTTTCAGTTTATTCACTTCCACTAACCTGTTAACTTCAATAAAATTAATGAAAATTTGCCCTTGACATTATATTTTCTTTGCAGAATCAAATTATGAGATACACTATCCATTAGTAGTGACAAGTAGAAAAACACTAATATAGGTGCACATTTTGTATTAAATTTTGCTGTTCTAACTTCAATTTTTTTATTAACATATGGGCTGTCTCCCACCAACGTAGAGTAACTTCCCTCCCTTTTTCTCTCAGAAAAAAAAAAAAACCTGTTTGCCATCATTCATTCAGTAGCTGTCTTGCCAAAAGTGTGCAGACATCTTGGTTGTAATAACCTTCCAGACTATGATTAATGTATGTACAGCCTCTCCTCACTTAGCAACGTACTCATTTACTGACGCCGATTTCCTCTATTCTGTTTATTTCAATATACAGTACACTAATGTATAAACATTTAAAAATAAATCAGAAATGTTATAAATGGTGCAAAGGTGACATTAAAACAATATCAAAGATGGTTGACACAAACTTACTACCATTATAGTATGCTCCTCACTTAGTGACGAATTCATTTAACAACGTGGTCTCGGGAATGGAACTCGGTCATTAACCCTTAAACTGTCCAAACGTAGATCTACGTTCACTCGCATGGCGCTCCAAATATTTTGAAAAATAAAAAAAAAAATGTTCTTTTAAAATGAAGAGCACATTTTTCTATGTGTTATGGGATTAAAAAAATTTTTTAGGGTCAGTACTTACCGAAATATAAGACCATGAAGTTGGCTCTGGAAGCTCACCTGATGGCAACATAGACTCCTGCCGCTTGGAGAAGTGTTGCCGATATAGTACCTTTTTTTCTCGTTTTTATTTTAATTTGTATAATTTTTATGTTCTGATAATTACGATTTATAATAGTTCTTGTAATTTCATAGCCAATCTTTGTTCTGACACGAATATTAGGTACTGAAATAGTGCATAAATAGTCACAATCACATTGACAGGTGAACATTTAAACCTGCCTGGGTTATTTACTATTGTCTAGAAATATATACAAAGTATTTATAGGTCCCAGCAATGTTTCAGATACCCTACCCTGGCATATACCTTGAAGCATGGTGTTATGAAAGGCATCCCTATACTGTTGACATCCCAGTGACATTTGATAAATGCCCACTGCTCCAGCTAACCCTCGCTGTTACACACAAACATGTCTTGTCTCTGCCTCTGCCTGTCTGTCTCTGCTTATCTGTCTTTCTGTCTCTGTCTGCCTGGAGTATACATATATGAAACTCTCCTTGAAGAATGGTGTTAGGACAGCTGTTTTCAGCTCGGTGACATTTGATAAATGGGCGCTTGGGGAAACCCTGGCTTTATTTGTTTTCACTGATACACACAAACATGTTTGTGCATCTGTCTATCTATCTTTGCCTGGAATTTTTGGGTTATCCTAGGTAATTTACACTATGTATAATTGTATTTGTGTACATATGAGACGGATAAAGATACAGATATAGATATAGAGATATATATAGATAGATATATAGATAGAGAGATATATAGATAGAGAGATATATAGATAGAGAGATATATAGATAGAGAGATATATAGAGAAATATAGATATAGAGAGAGATAGATATAGAGATAGATATAGAGAGAGATAGATATAGAGAGAGATAGATATAGAGAGAGAGAGATATAGAGAGAGATATAGAGAGAGAGATATAGAGAGAGATAGATATAGAGAGAGATAGATATAGAGAGAGATAGATATAGAGAGAGATAGATATAGAGAGAGATAGATATAGAGAGAGATAGATGTAGAGAGAGATGGATGTAGAGAGAGATGGATGTAGAGAGAGATGGATGTAGAGAGAGAGATGAGATGTAGAGAGAGATGGATGTAGAGAGAGATGGATGTAGAGAGAGATGGATGTAGAGAGAGAGAGATGTAGAGAGAGAGAGATGTAGAGAGAGATGGATGTAGAGAGAGATGGATGTAGAGAGAGAGAGATGTAGAGAGAGATAGATGTAGAGAGATAGATGTAGAGAGAGATAGATGTAGAGAGAGATAGATGTAGAGAGAGATAGATGTAGAGAGAGATAGATGTAGAGAGAGATAGATGTAGAGAGAGATAGATGTAGAGAGAGAGATGCAGAGAGAGAGAGATGCAGAGAGAGAGATGCAGAGAGAGATCAGAGTAGAGATAGATGTAGAGAGATAGATGTAGAGAGAGAGAGATGTAGAGAGAGATAGATGTAGAGATAGATGTAGAGATAGATAGATAGATGTAGAGATAGATAGATGGATGTAGAGATAGATGGATGTAGAGATAGATGGATGTAGAGATAGATGGATGTAGAGATAGATGGATGTAGAGATAGATGGATGTAGAGATAGATGGATGTAGAGATAGATGTAGAGATAGATAGATGTAGAGAGAGATAGATGTAGAGAGAGAGAGATGAGAGAGAGAGAGAGAGATGCAGAGAGAGAGATAGATGCAGAGAGAGAGATAGATGCAGAGAGAGAGAGAGATAGATGCTAACTTTCCTATGGTGTAGAAATATACCTAGTTGGATGAATCTTATTGTGGCTAGCTGGTCTAGTGGCTAACGCGACGGGCTGGAGTTTTGAGACTCTATGACCGCTGGTTCAATCCCGGCCGGGGGTATGGTTTATTTGCAATCGTGTCATTACAATTTCTTGAGTCAGAGAGATATAGATATAGAGAGATATAGATATAGCGAGAGATATAGAGATAGAGAGAGATAGAGATATAGATAGATATAGATAGATATAGATATAGAGACAGCCAAAGCCAGCCAGCCTGCCGATTACATAAGAACATAAGAAAGAAGGAACACTACAGCAGGCCTACTGGCCTATGCAAGGCAGGTCCGTGTCACCCTTCTCCTCCCCCCCAGCTTAGACCAATGACCCACCTAGTCAGGTCACATCCATTGAAGGAAGGGGCATGGCAGACCTAGTAGCAAAAGCTAGTCAGGTCCAGCTCACACCCACCCACACTCAGTCATGTATTTATCTAACCTATTTTTACTTTCCTCTTAAAATGGGAGTGTTAATGCAACATGGCATCAGTGAATCCTTGGTGTTTGCCACGCTATTTGCTCGAGCTGGTGCTCCCACAAGGTACTAAGTGCTCCCAGATTTTTTTAATACTGCACACACTACGTGCACAGACCCACTCTTTCATGTGTAGGCGACTCAAGCCTATTGTGTCAAATTTGAAGGAATGAAAAATAAAACGTTGATCTACGTTCGGAGCACTACGCATGCAAACGTAGATCTACGTTTGGACAGTTTAAGGGTTAAGTGAGGAGAGGCTGTATTTTGTTCAGTACTGTATATTGTTGGTGTCTAGATCCATCTGCAGGGCCTTCAGTGATTTTTTTTCATTTAACCCTTTGAGGGTTTCGGCCGTACTAGTACGGCTTATGACCCAGAGTTTTTGACGTACTAGTACGCCTAAATTCTAGCGCCCTCAAATCTAGTGGGAGAAAGCTGGTAGGCCTACATATGAAAGAATGGGTCTATGTGGTCAGTGTGCACAGTATAAAAAAAATCCTGCAGCATACAGTGCATAATGAGAAAAAAAAACTTTGACCGTTTTTTGGAACAAAACTGCGACTTTGCACTGTATTTTCGTATGGTATTTATTGTTGTATTCTAGTTTTCTTGGTCTCATTTTATAGAATGGAAGACATATTACAGAAATTCAAATGATTTTGACTGGTTTTACAATGAAAAGTACCTTGAAATTGAGCTCAAAGTAGCAGAAATGTTCGATTTTTACCAAAGTTCAAAAGTAAACAAATTATGCCAAGCGTCCAACTGGTGAGTCTAATATTCTTTCACAAGTGCACTGATATTATTTATACCATTTCTACACTAATGCAGTAGTCTGCATAACAGTAAATCTTCTATTTTTTGTGAGAATAAAAATTCAAAGTGGAAAGCAAAAGAATGTAAGAGGGGCCTTGAGACGTGACTAATGAACAGAGGAAATGTCATTTTAGTGCCAGGAATGTCTTTCTTGTTTATTCTGGACCCTATTCAGAAATTGGCATCTTTTGAAATTTGTGTGAAATTGGCAAAATTGCTAAATTCTGACCACTGTACTGGATAGTTGAAATGGTAAATGGGTGGTTTCTTGCACTCATTCGATAGAAAAAATTGAGTTCTCGCGAAATATTAATGTTTTTTGTCAACTAGTACAGTGGAATTGGCCGAAAATGGGGCTCAAAGTGGGCAAAATCGCCGGTGCGTAAATATCGCAGAGACCGCTAACTTTGCAAGAGCATAATTCTGTAAGTTTTCCATCAAATTTCATACTTTTGGTGTCATTATGATTGGGAAAAGATTCTCTATCTTTTCATAAGAATTTTTTTTTTTTTTTTTTTTTTTTTAAATTTGGCTGACCCTGAGAACGAGTCTCGGAGAGGGCCTGTCGACCCTCAAAGGGTTAAGTAGCTTACTAGCATAATTTTTTTTTAAACATATGTATCATTAAATATACATGAGCGTCATGCTAAGATGTAATGCTTTCTTGTAACTACTACCCAGTAACTTCCGTTAAATATTAATTACTGTGTTTTCCGGCCTATAAGGCGCTTTTATTTTTTCCACAAAAAGCCTTGGAAAATCACCCTATGCCTTGTAAGCTCAAGGTCAGGGTCAAGGGTAGGCTTTCGGTTAGGCTTTAGCAGTTATTTACTAATGTTACATTAAAACTTCTTAGAAACATTGTCTTATATGTCTTGTATGCTCCTGTGTCTTGTATGCTGAAAAATACTGTAATTATTTTGGATAATGTTTTCATACGTGACCTTTTACAGGAGCGGCAATTCCAGCTTGGATCTGCACACGAGGTTCAACGCTTCCACAGAGATGTGGACGAGACGAAGGACTGGATCCAGGAAAAGGATGAGGCACTTAACAATGATGATTGTGGCAAAGACTTGCGTTCTGTACAGGCTCTTCAACGCAAACATGAAGGTATATAACATTAATTTAATCCTTTTGGGATCTGTGCCGTAATACTACAGCTTTGAACTCTGGGTCTGTGTCATAGAACTATGTTATGAGCTTAGCTCTCTCAGATAAGCTGTGAGTGGTAAATTGGCCCTAGGTATGAGAGAATGGGTCTTTGCAGTAAGAGTGTACTGTATAAAAGAAATCCTGCAGCATGCAGTGTATAATGAGGAAGAAAAAACTGCGACCATGTTTTTGGTTTAAAACAGCAACTTTGTGGTGTATTTTCATTTTTTTTTTATGGTTGTACTCTGTTTCTTGGTCTCCTGGAGTTTACCTGGAGAGGATCTTGGGGGTCAATGCTCCCGCAGCTCGGTCTGAGATCAGGTCTCATGGTGGATCAGGGTCTGATCAACCAGGCTGTTACTACTGGCTGCACGCAAACTGACATATGAACCACAACCCGGTTGGTCAGGTACTGACTTTAGGTGCCTGTCCAGTGCCTTCTTCAAGACAGCCAGGGGTCTATTGGTAATCCTCCTTATGTATGCTGGGAGGCAGATGAACAGTCTTGGGCCCCGGACACTTATTGTGTTGTCTCTGTGTACTTGTAGCACCCTTGCTTTTCATCGGGGGAATGTTGCATCTCCTGCCGAGTCTCTTGCTTTCATAGGGAGTGATTTTTGTGTGCTGGTTTGGTACCAATCCCTCCTGGACCTTCCAAGTGTATACTGTATTATCATGTATCTTTCTCGCCTGCATTCCAGGGAATATAGATCAAGGATCTTCATCCATTCCCAGTAATTTAGGTGCCTTATCGTACTTACGTGTGCCATGAAAGTTCTTGGTACGCTCTCCAAGTCTGCAATGTCACCAGCCTTTAAGGGGCCATTAGTGTACAGCAGTATTCCAGCCTAGAGAGAACAAGCGATTTGAAGAGCATCATTGTGAGTCTTGCAGTGTCTTCGATGGAGGCCACTGCTGCGGCAATCCGGGTGTCATCCACAAAGAAAGACACGGAGCTATGGCTTGCATCTCTTGTCAGAAATGAGGATGAGGAATAGAATGGGAGCGAGTACTGTGCCTTGTCATTTGATGGAATGGAAGATATATTACAGAAATGGAGATGATTTTGATTGAGCTTGAAATTGAGCTCAAAGTAGTGGAAATATTTGATTTTTGATGATATTCCAGAGTACACAAATTACATCACTTGTGCAGTACGTGTCCAACTGGTAAAAATGTCTTGTAAATGAATACTAGTGGGTGGGTACCAAGAAGCAGGTGTGTGGCAACAGCATCAAGACTCAAAATATAGACAGAAGCATTTGTCTGTTGAATATAAGGAATAAATGTACAGTATGGTTGATTATACAAGTGAGGGAGAGAATCTGGGAGTAGGAAGGTGGGCATTCAAAGGAGAGGCGAGTGGATTAGTAAGAGGGCAGGAAGGCATGTACATCACGAGTGTTCAATTTTTTTTTCATTGGACATTCAGTAGAAAGTTTGGCTAATTGTCAAATTTAGGGATTGTAGATGTCTGTTTTCACGGATTACTGTACTCTAGTTTTAATTTACTGATTCCTTGTTCTCTTGACATTGTTTGGACAATTAGTAAATGATCTATAATACTTCAGTTGCATTTAAAGCCTATTTATTCTCTTGGTTGATTACTAGCCATTTGCTTGTTTTAAAACTAACTGGTAAACAGTGGGAGATGTCCAGCATGTTAAAAAAAAAATGGTAGATAGCTTATTTTTTTTTTTAAATTTTTAGCTTTTTTCATTGTAATGAAAATGTGACAGTCCAGTACCGCTATTCCAGCTTTCATGCATGTTGATACACTTTTGAAAAGGTTGTGATAGTGCCTTTTACTAATTTTTTTTTCAACAAGTCGGCCGTCTCCCACCGAGGCCTTTTACTAATATCACTCCAATATGTTATATATTTAAAAAAAAATTCCATTTTCTGGTACTGTTCCATTCATATTCCTAAAGTCATGTGGTACCTCTTCTAGGATAATCTAGTGTAATTATTAGAACATGTCTTTCAGATATGATCATACCACTTCTTGTTTTTCAGTGCTTTGTATTTTGCTCTATCTTGCCTAAATTTGCAGATGGGGACAGGTATGCTGTTTGTCTGTAGATGTATAATGATAATTTATGTAGATATTACCTACATAGTAGGTTGGTAGACAGCAACCGCCCAGGGAGGTACTACCATCCTGCCAAGTGAGCGTAAAACGAAAGCGTGTAATTGGTTTACATGATGGTAGGATTGTTGGTGTCCTTTTTTCTGTTTCATAAAAACGCAAGATTTCAGGTACGTCTTGCTACTTCTACTTACTTAGGTCACACTACACATACAAGTACAAGCATATATATACACACTCTGGGTTTTCTTCTATTTTCTTTCTGGTTCTGGTTCTTGTTTATTTCCTCTTGTCTCCGTGGGGGGGTGGAGCGGAGTTCTTCCTCTGTGGGCCGTGCGTGTTGTGGGAGGCGGCTGGGGTGCCGGGAGCGGGGGGCTGGTGGCCCCTTCTCCTGTGTAGGTTACCGAATTTGAAGGGAGAATCTTCTGTTTTTCTTTTTGGGCCGCCCTGCCTCGGTGGGATGCTGCCGGTTTGTTGGGAGAAGAATATGTATATGTATGTGTGTATGTATATATATGTATGCGTGTATGAATATGTATGTGTGTATGAATATGTATGTGTATGGGAGCAAGGGCCTAGTAACCCCTTCTCCTGTATAAATTACTAAATTTAAAAAGAAAAACTTTCGTTTTTCTTTTTGGGCCACCCTGCCTTGGTGGGATATGGCCAGTTTGTTGAAAGAAGAATAATTACCTACATAGTAGGTTGGTAGACAGCAACCGCCCAGGGAGGTACTACCATCCTGCCAAGTGAGTGTAAAATGAAAGCCTGTAATTGTTTTACATGATTGTTGGTGTCCTTTTTTCCGTTTCATAAAAATGCAAGATTTCAGGTACGTCTTGCTACTTCTACTTACTTAGGTCACACTACACATACAAGTACAAGCATATATATACACACTCCTCTGGGTTTTCTTCTATTTTCTTTCTAGTTCTTGTTCTTGTTTATTTCCTCTGACCTCCATAAGCCATGCGTGTTGTAAGAGGCGACTAAAATGCTGGGAGCAAGGGGCTAGTAACCCCTTCTGTATAAATTACTAAATTTAAAAAGGGAAACTTTCATTTTTCTTTTTGGTCCCCCCTGCCTTGGTGGGATACGGCTGGTTTGTTGAAAAATAAAAATTACCTACCTCTAGACTGTGATGTCAGCACACTTCTGACAAGACAGTGATTGAATGAATGATGCTGAAAGTGTGTCTTGGTGAAAGATGGTTGGTATTAAAAAGAAAAAAAAAAAGTTTTGATATGGGTGTGAGCCGTGGATTTTGAGGTTCCAGTGAGGAGGCGGTGGTGGCAGCAGCAGCAGCAGCTAGAGGCAGTGGGATGTGGGGTGTGATTGTCATGCAGATAATTTAAAGATCATGTGGGGTCACCAATGGTATAAATCAGAGAGCTTAGTAGGGGTTTCTGAGGTGGTTTGGGCACGTAGAGAGGACGGAGAGGGGTGTGCGGATGGTAAAAGGGAAAGGGAAGTTCCTAGAAAGGGTTGGAGGGAGGGGGTAAAACAGATTGAATTTTGGTGACTTAACCATTCAGCAAGCTTGTATGAATGGAGTGAATGGGGACCTTAGTGGGTTTTTAATGGATGTTCTGTTGGAGTGTGAGAAAGGAGTCCTGGAGGTGGGATGGGCATTCTGAGGCAGGGGTGGGGATATTACAGCCAGAAGATAATCAGATTGTGATGCCAGCACACTTGTGAAATATGGCTATTGGATGAATGAATAATTGTGCCAAGAGATGACTATTGCTTTAAAAATACAACATTGGGTTAACTGCTTATGTAGATCACAGAAGTCTTTAGTTATGCTCTGCTGTATTGTTGTGCTATGTGCACAATCAAATTGTATTTTGCTTCAGGTTTGGAGCGTGACCTTGCTGCCTTGGGAGACAAAATACGGCAATTGGATGAAACTGCAAATAGACTTATGCAGACACATCCTGAGGCAGCTGATACGATTTATGGCAAGCAGAGAGAGATAAATGAGTTATGGACACAGCTGACAGCAAAGGTAAATCCTAGTAGCTTTAATTTCTAAATACTACTTTATTCCTCTTCCCCCTTATTATTCCTCCAGTCTCTTTTATCATTCCTGCCTTCTCTTTTAGCCTTCCTGCCCTCTCCTTGTCCTTCCTCCTGTCTCTTTTGTCCTTCTGTCCTTCCTCCCATCCCTTTTGTCCTCTGTCCCTTTTGTCCTTCCTCCTGTCCATTCTGTCCTTCCTCCCGTCACTTTTATCCTTCTTCCTGTCCCTTTCCTTCCATTCTCATTTATACTTCTCCCTTTCCATTTTTCTTCCTTTTCTATTGGTATTTTCTTTTGTATCCTTTTTTTTTTTCCTTCTGTTCTTACTGCCCTTTGTTTCATTCTTCCCTTTTATCCTTGTTTCATTCCCTTCTGTCCATTTTCTTTTTTTAATAATTCTTCAACACCCTTGATTAAAATAGAATTTAACCGTTAACTCTTAAACTGTCCAAACGTATATCTAAGTTCGCTCGCGTAGCACTTTGAGTGTAGATCTACTTTTATTTACATGCTTTCTTATGGAGAAAATCAAGGTCGGAGCGCTACGCGCGCAAACATAGATTTATGTTTGGACAGTTTAAAGGTTAATTATCGATTCATAATTTTCAGGCTGATGCACGTAAAGAGAAATTGCTCGACTCGTACGACCTCCAACGTTTTCTTAGTGATTACCGTGATCTGAGCTCCTGGATCGCTTCCATGATGGGATTAGTGAGTTCAGATGAGCTAGCAACTGATGTGACTGGTGCTGAGGCTTTACTAGAGAGGCACCAGGTAATGTGAAGGATTCACTTTTTTTGTATGTAATTTTTTTGCTCTGGCCATATGAAAAATCTATTTCCACGGATGTGTGAAGATTGTTGTACTGGAATTGAAGCCTACTAGCCAACACACCTCTTTTTTCATCAGTTTTGTTTCTTGGACCTAGGTCCTGGGCATTAATTTGCTGTATAAGAAATTGTGTGTAAAATAATTGTTAGTAATGTCAGTTTCATTATGCAACAAAAAGCTGCTTAAAGATCTTAAACGGACACCATATATGGTTTACTTATATTTCAGAGGACATGTTTACTTTATTTTTCTTAGTTAACCCTTTCAGGGTCAAGACCCTTAATCTCAAACTTGCTCTCAGGGTTGAAGAATTTAAAAAAAAAAAAATGATTTTATTTTATGAAATGATAGAGAATCTTTTTCCAAAGGTAATGAAACCAAAAGTACAAAATATGATGGAAAACTCGCAGAATTACGCTCTCGCAAAGTTAGCAGTCTCGGCAATAACGCATTGGTGATTTTGCCCACTTTGTGCCCTATTTTTTGGCCAATTCCATTGTTCCAGTTGGCCAAACTCTTAGCTATTGCACTAGTACAGTGGAACCTCGGCTTATGAATTTAATCCATTTCATGACCTTGTTCGTATCCCGATTTGTTCGTATGCTGAGTCAATTTTCCTCATTTAAATTAATTGAAATGGCATTAATCTGTTCCAGCGGAATTCCTGCTCTCAGGAGGCACGACAAAATACACGTACTTCAATATGATGCTAATATCAACTCTACGGCTTATTTGTATATCACAATTCGTCTAATTTCACAATCACTCAAGAAATGCACAACAGGTGCATCATTGTCAATGTTCAGCATTTCTTCGTTGTCAGCTTCCTGTAGCTCCATTAGCACAGTCAAGATGAGCAAATAAAATTGTCAACGCTTATTGCTTGGGTATGTTTATTCTGTTAATGGGTTGGATCTGTGAAGGATCTGCCTAATATGGGCCAACAGGCCTACTGCACTGTTCCTTCTTTCTTATGTTATTATGTATCCACGACACCAATCATACCCAGCCCCTCCCACTCACATACATGTATTTGTCCAATCTCTCTTTAAAGCTACCCAAGGTTCTTTCGAAGCTAAAACCTTGGGTAGTTTCAAATTTAGGTTGGAGAAATACACGAGTGAGAGGGGTTGGATTTGAGTGGGACTTGGATGTGAGTAAATAGAATTATTAAAGCTTATTTCTTAGGTAGCGTTGAAAATTGAGTTGGGCAAATATTCTGTTAGTGGGATGGATTGTGAAGGAAGTGCCTAGTATGGGCCAGCAGGCCTGCTGCACTGTCCCTCCTCTCTTATGTTCTTATGCTGATGAGTGGAACAGTCTGCCTAGTATGGTTATTGAGGCTAAAACCTTGGGTAGTTTCAAATTTGTGTAGGATAAATACATGAGTGAGAGGGGTTGGATGTGAGTGGGATCTGCACATGAGTAACTAGAATTAACGAAGCTTATTGCTTGGGTAGCATTGAAAATTGAGTTGGGCAAATATTCTGTTAGTGGGATGGATTGTGAAGGAAATACCTAGTATGGGCTAAGAGGCCTGCTGTAGTGTATTATTATTATTAGTACGTATGTATGTGTTATAATAATTATTATTGTTAATTTAGGGAAGTGGAGCACAGATCCAGTTCCCTTGATCAAGAGCTCCTCACCAAGGAACCTTCCTTGAGGGTGAAGTTCGCATCCTGAAATTTCGTTCATATCCAGAAGCAAAAAATCGATCGAGTGACTGTTCATATCCTGAAAAATTCGTATGGTGGGGCATTCGTAAGCCAAAGTTCCACTGTATTCGTTCTATCGATTGAGTACAAGAAACTGCCTATTTACATGCAATAAAGTGATCAGAAATCTGTAATTTGGCCAATTTCACACAAAATTAAAAAAATTGCCAATTTAATAATAGGGTTCAGAATAAACAGTGTAGACATTCCTGGCACTTAAAAATAATTCCTCTGTTCCTTAGTCATGTGTCCAGGCTCCTCTTATGCATACTACTGCATTATTGTAATGATTATATAAATAACGTTTGTGCATTCCTAAATGCGTATTAGACTGGTCAGTTGGACGCATATTAGACAAGTGTGCTCTGGAACATCGCCAGAAGTCGAACATTTGTTACTTTGAGCCCAATTCCAAGCTACTTTCATCCTTAAACCAATCAAAATCATCTTTGTTTCTGTAATATATCTTCCATTCTATCAAACAAGACCAAGAAACAAAGAATATAGCCATAACAACCAAACGAAAGTACACCGCAAATTCTCTGTTTTAAACCAAAAACACGGGCACAATTTTTTTTCTCATGCACTGTGGGGCAGGATTTTTTCATACTGTGCACAGTTACCACATAGACCCATTCTCTTATATCTAGGCTCAAATTTAACACTTTATCTGAGTGAGCTGAACTCGTAGCGTAGTACTACAGGACTGACCCTGGCTTCAAAGCCATAGTACAACAGGACTGACACCGAAAGGGTTAATGCTTTATTTTTTAAAAGTATTTGAAATGCTGCATACCTTTGGTGTTAAAGTTGAATATCAGTTTAGGTGTTAATGAGACATCTTAGTTGGTAAGATTATTTTATTGATTTGTTTTTATATACAGTAGAACTTTTCATGTCAAAATTGTGTGATGTAAAAGTTGAGTTATTGTCTATTCTAACACCACTATATAATATTTATTCAATTGTCGACATGTGAAGAATGCTCTTGTCTACTACCTTGAACTAGATAAGGGCTTAGCTAATTTGATTCCACTTGTTGTAACACGTCACCCTTCCTTTTCTAGAGCTTCCGAGCCGAGTTTGACTCTCGCTATGGTATACCCCAGGTATTGAGTTTTGTCGTAGGTTGTATTGCAACACTACTTTTTTTTTTTTACGTTCTTGCGTGTTTTCGGGCCAGAGGTAGTGTTTTAGCTTTTCCATCAGTAAATGCTCTGTACTAATGATTAGTTTGCTGCTGGCCTCGACATGGTAGTTTTTCCACGTTGGAGGGCATTTCCTGCATTTTAATCAGTAGAAAACCACCAAACCCACACTTGATAAAAAGTAATTAATTTCTTCATTTTTCACTTGATATAATAGCTGTAAGTTTTATCATTGATATGTTTGTTTATTTTTTATGAGTAATCATAGTAATCATAAAAGGTAAATTAAATTTTTTTATATAACCTACATTACGCTGTTGTTGATTAAATTTGTTAATGTTTATTTATCTTTGAGTAGGAAGTGTTAACTTTCAATAACAGAGCAGGAAATGTTTCTCCTTTCTGTTGTCACTAATGATAGCATGATAATTTGTGTTAATACAAATCATTGCATTTGCATACAAGAAATTGCTGAAAATATTTTAGCGATGTCTGCATCAAAGATATTCACAAATGTTAGACGTCAGGGACAGGTGTTAAGATGGACAAGACAAATCCCTGTTAAGAATGCTTTATCTAAACATTAATATTTGATCATGTAGGTGCCATAACTTTAACTGTGTTGAATAAATGACAAATGAAGGAAAAATTATAGTACACGTAACTGTTTCTGTGTGTTTTGGGTCTTAGGTTTCAGTATCTCTTGTGTTGACAGTATAAGTGTGAGCGGTGTGTGTGTACTAAAAGTTGTTCAATAATGTATAGAGCACTTACAATGTGTGGACACTTTCTGTACTAACACAAATAAGCATCTTAAACAAGCAGCATGCCATTCTTTTTGGCTATAAGACATTTTAACTATTATGAAATTAGTTTATATTTAATATCAAATTTAATTAGCAGACTTTGATTCATAAATACACAATTGTTTATCTACTTGCTGAATCTTATAAAAAAAGAAATTTTATCTTTTAGTGAAGGTTAATTGTGCTACAAAACTTTATAGTTCTGTAGCCTTGTCTAAAGTAAATATGAAGAGTAATTAGGTCAGTTTTTTCTAATTATAGATTTCTCCTATGTTTAGGTTATTCATGAAGTCTTTACAGATACCTACCTCTTTCTTCATCTTGTATCATATAACTGCTGAAAATTGTAATTCTTGCATTTTTGCTACCATTAATTTCGTTTTGTTTATCTATTATATCTATAACATTCCTAGTTTTGTTTAACTATGAAGTTTCAACTGCAGATATTAAGATGTCCTTAAGTAAGAAGAAGCAGTAAAACATTTGTAATAATTTAAGAACAGACTGGTAAGAGAATATGAATCAAAATAACTGCTGAATTTCAACAAAAACAAATGCTTAGGAAATATTATCATGTCTCTTGTTACTGTTAATGCATGATCTTGTCAGGATTCATCTGTTGATAGTCAGTTTTCTGCCCCAGTCAAATATATGAATAGAGTAGGTTATAAGAGCACTTTTCACAAGATGTCCTTTAAATACTGCAACTCAGGTCCTCCATACTTTACCATGTAGTGTTATTCATTGGTTGTCTGTCATGGCTGAAGAATATCACAGCTAGAAAATATGCAAAGTTCTTTCTTTATTTGCATCAACTCTATTAAATTCTTTATTGCTGGTGCTACAGAACATCTCTTCAATTATTATCATTGGAACATAGATGACATGTCTGAGGGTAATGTGGTGTGTGAATATTAAACAGAGAATTTGTAGTCTGGAGATTAGGAGGTGGCATGAGGGAACACAGTAAGCCCCTGTTTGAAGCCTCTCAAAAAACTATAAAATAAAATTTGTACACAGTTTAGATATGTATTGAAGAATTTGATAAAGAAATCTTCATTCTTATGATATTCTTGAAATCAAAATCAGCAGATGAGGCAGGCATTACCTCCCTGAATCTCCTGCTGACTTTGATTTTGGGTCAGCTTAAGCACATGGTGAAACTTACTCTTACTCTCTGATCTACTAAACATTATTAGATGTAGAGAACTGAAATATGTATTGCAGAGTTACAGAAATGTGCAATCTTCCAGTGTTGCTGGTAGTCAAAGCTGGCAAGTCTCTCCACATCTAGACATAGCCTCCCAGAATGTTTTATTACAGTACAGGTCTCCCTCAACATTTGCATTTTCCACTTTCGTGGGCTTCGAACATTTGGGAATTCCCAGCCGCCCAATCACATTTAAAATATGTCATTACATATCTTAGGAATTGTGGCAGTGGCAGAGTTTGTTTGGAGATAGGACAAGATAGTCCTTCAATATGATACTAATAACTCTACGGCTTGTTTTTTAACAAGTCGGCTATCTCCCACCAAAGCAGGGTGACCCAAAAAGAAAGAAAATCCCCAAAAGTAAAATACTTTCATCATCATTCAACACTTTCACCTCACTCACACAGTCACTGTTTTTGCAGAGGTGCTAAGAATACAACAGTTTAGAAGCATATTACGTATAAAGATACACAACATATCCCACCAAACCGCCAATATCCCAAACCCCTCCTTTAAAGTGCAGGCATATTTACGGCTTATTTATCTATCACAATTCATCAAATATGACATAAACAATATTAAGAACATATAGAATAAAGAAAAACGTCATTAAGTATGTCACAAGTGTTGCTGTGTTGTTGTTGGGTGTATAAGGGCCACCAAGTGGTGGTGGTGGCATCAGAGGCAGTAGAGACTAGAGACGGCGGTGTTGTCAGTCACCCTGTATAACTCCAACAACATTGGAGGAGTTAGGTTTGTGCTGTCCTTTTTCTATCAGTTAATCGCTTAACTTACTTGCTACACTGTTAATGCTACACTTTATCGCTGGCTGGCGCTATAGCCTTTATCAACTTATGCTGCTTTAGTATTGTACATATCGTAGAATAACTGAATCACTGAAGAAGGCACATTCTTCCCTCTCTTTTCCTCCTCCACTTTGGTACTCTGCTATGAGTTCTTCTTGAATTCTATAGTTTTTCTCACCTTCTTTACCAAAGGCCTGGCACTAGTACATATTTTACGATGTTTTCTTGTGTTTTATGATTGCCCATGGTTCAATAGGTTAAGGAAGCTGTATTGTATTATATTTCCCTGCAATATATTGGGGCACCAAGCATTCGTGATTTTTCAACATTCGCGAGGTTCTTGTTCCTCTAACCCTCGTCAATGTTGAGGGAGACCTGTATAGCTACTTTTATTTTTCTTGGTTATTACTTTTACAAATGGACTCAATTTTAACTTGGTATAGGTGTAGCAAGTTTTTATATCTGGTAGTTTAATGAAATGTGGCTATTATTTTAATGGTATAATATGTACTTCGTGTGTCAGCTGATCAACCTCCCTACATCAAACTCTGCCCAATAGGCCCACATTAACCCTCCTCAGTCTTCAAATGCTTCAAGTAACGAATAACTGAATGTAAGTTATGTTGAAGTGTAGTAATTTTACTTAGTAGAATAAGAATTAAAAATTGTGGCAAATTTGGAAGCATCTGAAACTTAACCGTATTTTTTCCTATTTTTTCATATTTTTTCATAAGGCATATGTTATGAGAATGTTTATTGTACCTTAAAAAACTTACGAGGTCTTGCATCTCTTCCAGAGTTGAAAATTGTGCTAATGGATATTATATGCAATTGATGTGCTCTATAAATATTAGTAACTTGTAAATTTAAACTGGTGACATTAACAAAACCCTCTTGTTCAGGAGCACCGTACAGAGATTGATGCTCGTGCTGGTACTTTCCAAGCATTTGAGCTTTTTGGACACCAGCTTCTTCAGTCTGGCCACTTTGCCTCTGCTGAAGTGCAAGAAAAGCTAGATGCTATGAATGAAGCTCGACAGGATCTGGAAAGGTAAGCAGCTGATCTCCATATATATTCATTAGTATTGTGTTTACTTATGGCTCCTGAAAGCATATTTGAATTTGGCTAAGGTTGGTGGAGGACTTTGGGAGGTTATGTAATAGAAAGAAATTAAAAGTGAACATAAGAGCAAGGTGATAAGAGTAACAAAAAATCTAGGCAGTGAAAGATTGGCTGTCAGATTGGGAGTGAGTGAGTATGGTAGAGGTGTGTTAAGGTATTTTGGAGTAATTTTTTAACAGGTGAGTCTGTGAAAGATGAGGTGAACCATAGACTAGATGAGATGAGGTGAACCATAGACTAGATGAGGAGAGAGGGAAAAGGTAGGTGGTACATTGAAGTATCTGTGGAAACTAAAAACTATCCATGGAGGCAAAAAGGAGAATGTACCAGAGTATATTGGTACCAACACTTGTATGGTTGTGAAGCATGGGTTTTGAATATTACAGTAAGTAAGAGTCTGTAGGCAGTAGAGATGTCATGTTTGAGAGCAGTGTGTGAAGTGAATGTTATGCAGATAATTTGGAGTTGGGAGATAAGCAGGGGTTTTGGAGTTAACCAAAAGTATTATTCAGAGAGCTGATGAGGAATTGTTGATGTGGTTTGAACATTTATTGGAGAGGGAAACAAATAGGATGACTAGGAGGGCATAAAACTCTGTGATGGAGGGAAGGAAGGGTACGAGTCATCCTAGGAAATATAGAGGTAGGATTTCGAGTTCTAGGTGCTTGTGACATTCAGTACACTTACCTCTTCGTGGAAGTCCATTGCGCCTATCATCACCACTTGTGAAGAAATACTTTTTGATATTTCCTTTGTACTGTGCCTTCATGCATTTGTGTACATACCACACATATTTTGCAAGTAGTATTTAAATGAGAATTGTTTTAGTTTTTGAAATTTACACTGTGCACTATTATTCCATGTGTGTACATTTTTCCTGACTCAGGGCCTGGATTGCTCGTCGCATGAAGTTAGACCAGTGTCTAGAGCTGCAGCTGTTCTACCGTGACTGTGAGCAGGCCGAGAACTGGATGTCTTCCCGAGAAGCCTTCCTTTCCTCTGATGAAGCTGATGCCAAGGCAGACAATGTAGAAGCTCTGATTAAGAAGCATGAAGATTTTGACAAGGCAATTAATGCACAGGAAGAGAAAATTGCAGCATTGAACTTGTTTGCTGATCAACTAGTAGCTGCTGAGCACTATGCTAGTAAGGATATTGGTGATAAACGGGGTCAAGTGTTGGATCGTTGGCAGCATTTGAAGGAAGCTCTTATTGAGAAGCGCTCTAAACTTGGAGAGAGTCAGACTCTTCAACAGTTTTCACGTGATGCAGATGAAATTGAGAACTGGATTGCAGAGAAGTTGCAGGTTGCAACAGAGGAAAGTTTCAAGGACCCAGCAAATATCCAGTCAAAACATCAGAAGCACCAGGCCTTTGAGGCAGAGCTTGCTGCAAATGCTGATCGTATTCAAGCTGTTCTTGCCATGGGTCAAAACCTTATCGATAAACACCAGTGTGCTGGATCTGAAGAAGCTGTGCAGCAGAGGTTAGAATCTATTTCAGAACAGTGGGACTTTTTGACTCAAAAATCAGCAGAGAAATCCCTTAAACTAAAAGAGGCAAATAAGCAGCGTACTTTCATTGCAGCTGTGAAGGACTTGGACTTCTGGCTTGGTGAAGTAGAATCTCTTCTTACTAATGAAGATGTTGGCAAGGACTTGGCAAGTGTGCAGAATCTGATGAAGAAACATCAGTTGGTGGAAGCTGATATCCAGGCCCATGATGATCGCATTAATGACATGAATGGCCAGGCAGACTCTCTAGTGGAAAGTGGCCAGTTTGATACTGCTAATATCCAGGAGAAGCGCCAAAGTATCAATGAAAGGTATGAACGTATCAAGAACTTGGCTGCTCATCGCCAGTCACGACTGAATGAGGCACTTACGCTTCACCAGTTCTTCCGAGATATTGCCGATGAGGAGTCTTGGATTAAGGAGAAGAAGCTATTAGTTTCTTCAGAAGACTATGGCCGTGATCTGACTGGTGTGCAGAACCTACGGAAGAAGCACAAGCGTCTCGAGGCAGAATTGGCCTCGCATGAACCAGCTATTCAAGCTGTGCAAGAGGCTGGAGAGAAATTGATGGGTGTGTCTAATGTTGGCGTCTCGGAAATTGAAGCTCGTCTTCAGCAACTTTCAGAAACTTGGTCCCAGCTAAAAGCCATGGCTGAGCAACGTGGCAAAAAACTAGAACAGTCTCTTACTTATCAGCAGTTCCTAGCTAAGGTAGAAGAGGAAGAAGCATGGATCAGTGAGAAGACTCAACTGTTGTCTGTTCCTGACTATGGAGATAATATGGCTGCTGCCCAAGGTCTCCTGAAAAAACATGATGCCTTTGAAACAGATTTTGCTGTTCATCGGGATCGTTGCAGTGATGTATGTGAAGCTGGTGCTAAATTAGTAGCTGATGGCAACCATCATGGAGAATCCATCAAACAGAGATGTCAGCAGCTGAAGGATAAGCTTGAGGCCCTGAATGGCATTGCAGCCCGCAGGAAGAGCAAGTTGGCTGACAACCTAGCCTATTTGCAGTTCATATGGAAGGCTGATGTAGTAGAGTCGTGGATTGCTGACAAGGAGTCTCATGTCAAATCTGAAGAATTTGGTAGAGACCTGTCCACAGTGCAGACACTGCTTACTAAGCAGGAGACTTTTGATGCTGGTAAGGAAATGTGTTTTTGGTTGTATGCTGTAGTTTTTCTTTTATATTTAAAACCATTGAGTTAGGGTGTTGCTTATAGTGAATCTGCATTGATTGTATGAAAACTTGTAGGCATTGTATTCATTTTCTTTAATGCATCTAAAGTTTAGTATGTCATTACATAAAGAACTTAATGATTTCATGCTCTGGCTGGAGAGCTGGGCATATATAATAGCCACAGTGTTTGCCTTTGTGTTTTTAGTATTAAGTATGTTTAATAAGCTTTCCTAGTGGTTTCCAATTTGGTAGTTTGAACATTTGTTTAATATTTAAATATACTAATAAGTTAAGGAGCAAAAATAAGTAGGCAACATAACCTGATTAAGTAAAGTACAGTGGAACCTCAGTATGCGACCTTAATTCATTCCAGAAGGCTGTTCGAGTGCCGCTTCGTTTGGTTGGCTGTTATCATTAATCATCGTAGGCCCCATGGGACTTACTTATACAAATAATACAAAAAAGAAAAAAAAGTGAAGAAACACGAAATAGTTTACAGCAAAGTTCTGGCAGGTCGTATTTGTTTGGTCAAGTGATGAGCTTTGTTCAAGTAGGGAGCTGGTCATATACCGAGGTTTCACTAATTTTAGAGTATTAGTTTGGGATGTTGGCTGTTTGGAGTGACATCTGAACTGTCCTATCTGAGAGCCTCTGTAAAGACAGAGATTATGTATGAATGATGGTGAAAGTGTTGAATGACGAAAGCTTTTTCTTTCTGGGTTTTTCTTTCTTTTTGGGTCGCCCTGCCTTGGTGGGAAACAGCCAATGTGTTAACAAAAAAATGGAAAAGGGGAAGGTACCTAGGGGTTGGCAGAGAGCATGCATATTAGAATGTAAAAATTATTGGGTAATAAGCCTGTTGAGTATACCTGGTAAAGTGTTTGGTAGAGTTATTGTTGAAAGAATTAAGAGTAAGATGGAGAGCAGGATCGCAGATCAACAAGGAGGCTTTGGGAATGGTAGAGACTATGTAGACCAAGTGTATATAGTCAAGCATATAGACAAACAGTATTTAGATAGGGGTAAAGAGATTTTCATTTTATTTATGGATTTGGAAAAGGGTTATGATAGGGTGGATAGGAGAGCGATGTGGCAGATGTTGCAAATGTATGGAATAGATGGTAGGTTACTAAAAGCAGTGGAGAGTTTTTATTAGGATAGTGAGGCTCAGGTGAGAGTATGTAGGAGAAGAGATTATTTCCCAGTAAATGTAGGCCTTAGACAGGGATGCATGATGTCACCATGGTTCAATGTATTTATAGATGGGGTTGTAAGAAAAGTGAATACATGGGGTGTTGGTAAGAGGTGTGAGATAGAGATAATCTAACACAAAGTGGAAGTTGTCACAGTTGCCCTTTGCTTATGACACTACTTTTGGGAGATTCTGAAGAGAAGTTGCAGAGGTTGGTGGGCAAGTTTGGAAGGGTATGTAAAAGAAGGAAATTAAAGGTGAATGTAGGAAATAGCAAGGTGATGAGGATAACAAAAAATTTAGGTAATGAAAGACTGGATATCAGATTGGAGGTATAATGGGTTTACAGTAACTGCGTCGTGATTTAGCGGGAATGAATGATAAGGCTTCGGAGGCTTCTTCCTTTATTTGCGCAATCGTGGGTACACAGGTAGTGTGTTTAAGTTGCCCTGGCTCAGGAGGGCCATACTGTGAGAGAGCGACTGAGTAACACCTTGTTTACCGAGTGAAGTCAGCTGCCAGAGTGAGAGAGGGGCAGGAATGGGCAGGCTGAAGTGGCATGCCCACTGAGAGGCCTGCCCTCTGGTGGAAACTGTTAGAAACTAGCCTTGTCTGCTTAGTCTACAGAGGAAGGGAATATGGAAGAAGTGAATGTATTCAGATACTTGGGAGTTGACTTGTCAACAGATGGGTCTATGAAAGATGAGGTGAATCATAGAATTGATGAGGGGGAAAGAGGTGAGCGGAGCTCTGAGGAGTCTGTGGAGTTGAAGACTGTTACTATGGAACCAAAGAGAGGGAATGTATGAGAGTATATTGGTACCAACATGCTTATATGGGTGTGAAGCATGAGTGGTGAATGTTGCAACAAGGAGAAAGCTGGAGGCAGTGGAGACGTCATGTCTGAGGGCAGTATGCAAGTGTGAATATAATGCAGAGATTCTGTAGCTTGGAGATTAGGAGGTGGTGCAGGGTTTCTAAAAGTATTATACAGATGGCAGAGGAAGAGTTGTTGAGGTAGTTTGGACATTTAAAGAGGATTGAATGAAATGGAATGACTTGGAGAGCGTATAAATCTGAAGTGGAAGGAAGGCAGGGAAGGGGTCATCCTAAGAAAGGTTGAAGGGAGGGGGTAAAGGAGGTTTTGTGTACGAGGGGTTTGGACTTCCAGTAAGAAATCATGTGTTTATTAGATAACAAGTGGAGATGAGTGTTTATGACTTGATGTGCTGTTGAAATGTGAGCAGTGTAACATGAGGGGATTCATGGAAACTGGTTAACCGGACTTGAGTCCTGGAGGTGGGAAGTACAGTGCCTGCACTCTGAATAGGAAGGGTGTTGATATGTTGCAGGTTTTTTTTAACTAGAGTGTATGAACACTTCTGGCAAGACAGTGATGGAGTGAATGATTATGAATTTTTTTTTTTTTTTTGTCACCCTGCCTTGGTGGAAAATGACTGTGTTAAACAACTAAAAAATAAAACTATCAACATACATTCATTAAGGAGAAAGTGTAACCAATGTTGGAAGGTATTGTGTAAATTTTATATGTAATTCAAAATTGAAAATATGTAATATTTTATCTTGCAGGTTTAGCAGCTTTTGAACATGAAGGTATCCAGAACATCACCACCCTTAAGGATCAGCTGGTGTCGGGCAACCATGAACAGTCAGAGTCTATTATTAAGCGTCATAGTGATGTTATTGCTCGTTGGAATAAGCTCCTCAGTGACTCGCTTGGGCGTAAAAACAAGCTGCTAGTTATGCAAGTTAGTACTTTGGCACAGTGACCTGTTCTTGAATTTATCAAGTGTTTTATCCAGTGAGTAGTGCTGGCAAAGTTTCAAAATGCTGTACTCCATATTAAATATGTACCTTTACATATACAGGAGCAGTTCCGTCAAATTGAGGAGCTCTATCTCTCCTTTGCCAAGAAGGCATCAGCATTCAATTCTTGGTTTGAGAATGCAGAGGAAGACCTAACAGATCCTGTTCGCTGTAATAGGTAATTTATATTTTGATAGTTATTCTCTTTATTTTTTTAAAGTAATATGTACTTGTGGAATAGTCTACATTTTGCAACACTATAATTAGTAAACCAGCTTTTTCGTGTATATGCAGGAGCATAGTTTCAATTTCTCCAATGTTTGTATTGCAGCATTGAAGAAATAAAAGCACTGCGTGAAGCCCATGCACAGTTCCAGGCTTCTTTATCCTCTGCTCAGGCTGATTTTGAAGCTCTTGCTGCCTTAGATCAGCAGATAAAGAGCTACAATGTGGGACCCAACCCATATACTTGGTTCACCATGGAAGCCCTTGAAGACACCTGGCGAAACCTACAAAAGATAATAAAGGCGAGACCATAGATACTTTGTGTATTGTTGCTAATGCATACAGGGTTATTATTAATATCATTGCTTTAGGAAAGGTTGGAGGGAGGGGGTAAAGGAGGTTTTGTGTGTGAGGGGTTTAAACTTCAAACAAGCGTGCGTAAGGTTGTAGGTAGGAGTGAGGGAGGCAAGTGGTTTTTACGACTTGACGTGCTGTTGGAGTGTGAGCAGATTAACATTTATGAAGGGATTTAGGGAAACTGGTTAGCCAGACTTAAGTCCTGGAGGTGGGAAGTACAGTGCCTGCACACTGAAGGAGAAGTGGAAATATGTTGCAGTTTTTGAACTGTGCAAGCATGCCTCTGGCAAGACAGTGATGGAGTGAGTGATGGTGAAAGTGTTTTTCTTTTTTGGGTCACCCTGCCTAGGTGGGAGATGGATGTTGTGTTGAAGAAAAGGAAAAGGTAAACCATTTAATTCAAAATGAAAATTATTTAGTATCATCTTCATAAATACAATACATTTAACCCTTTAGGAACGTGACATGGAACTGGCTAAGGAAGCTCAGCGTCAGGAGGAGAATGATAAACTGAGGAAGGAGTTTGCCAAGCATGCTAATGCTTTCCACCAGTTGCTGACAGATACCAGGTGGGGCAAGAAATATCTTTTTAGCTAAATAGAAATTTGTTTTGTAAGCAACCAAGGTGGCATTGAACATTTACTAAATTTAATTTTGATTACCCAGTAACACTTGGTTCAGCTTGGGACTATTCAAAGACCTCATTAATATATGTTTACTTCCTCTTGTATGAAATGAATGATATTCCTTGGGTTTAGTATTCAGCATTGCTGTTTCTGGGGTTCAGGGTATTTGGTAAAAAAGTGGTAGGGTTGTTTTTCTTATTTTTTGCTTGCATATTCTTGGGCTATGGATATTTAACTTTGAATAAATTTTAATATTTATGATTTAAGCATAATTTTTAATTGCTTAAATGATTTCAGGTAAAATTTATATGACATCCTGTGTATTTTAAATTTTGTGTTATGGTTACTTATTGAAGCAAAGATGCATTGCAGAATGAACTTTAATTGGAATACTTTTTGGCTGATAGAGATTTATCATGTCATTCAAACGTTCTACAATGCTATGTCTTTTCTTCAGTGCTGACAATATTTGGTGGTCATGTTTTGTATTTACATGTTTTTCTTTATAACTTACTGTAACGAGAGATTCAGAATGAAGTGTACAGTAGAATAATCCAGTGAAAAAGCAAGGGTTCCATAAGTACAATTAGAGGATTCTCAACAGTCATGGTCCAAATTTAAGGAATATTTTGAGAGATCAGTGGAGAGATGTTAGTTTTTCTGTCAAATGCTCATTGTGGGTGTAGGTGGGAGGGATGCTAGTTTTTGCCAGATGCACAATGTAAGTATGTTTTGAATGATCTAGAGTAATATAATAATGATTGTGATTTGATAGAGTCCCTGTGTGGGTGCTAATGTCTCTATATAACTGCATTTTGCATTTCTTCTCTTGTATGTTGTTTATATATCACTACCCTGCAAACCTGACCAGTGTCTAGCCAGTTAAGTATCAAATGGTATTTAGGCTTGGTAGGGACATACTTTGGGAATGGCTTTATTTGACCAGATTTTTTTAATAGATGCTAGTTTCTAAGAAAATGTCTTGATCACATTTACAAGCCATGTTTAAAACTGGCATTAGAATGAGGCACTACAAGCTAAAGTAATGTCGGCATCTGGTTAAAAAAACAATGCTGTTAATATACTGAATGATAAAAAATAAATTTAGTTTCTTCACTTAGTGTTTTAAGGCATGTTAACCAAAGTTGAGATCTTGTCATTATCATTTTTGCTTGCTGCATAAAATTGGTTTACTTGATATGTAATAAGAGGTCATACTATGTCCAAATTTTTATCTACGTGGTTGATAGCTGCTGGCAGAAATCTGTTTTGTGTGTAGTACACTAAAGACCTACTCAGATATAATTTTTTTTTAGTAAAGTTGTGTGTGCATGTGTGCGTACGTGTGCACACACACACCAACACACACAACACACACCACACACACACCAACCACACCCACACACACACCAACACACACACACCAACACACACACACACACACAACACCACACACACCACCACACACAAACACACTACACACCAACACACACACACAACACCACACACAACACCCACACCAACCACACACACCAACACACACCACACCACACACACACACACAACACACACACACACCAACACAACACACACCAACACACACACCACACCAACACCACAACCAACACACACACACACAACCACACACACACACACCAACACACAACACCCAACACACACACAACACACCCAACAACACACAACACACAACACACAACACAACACACACACACCAACACACACACACACACCACACACACACACACCACAAAAACACACACACACCACACAAAACACACCAACACACACACACACCAACACACACACACACACCAACACACACACACACCACACACACACACACACACCAACACAACACACACACCAACACACACCACACACACACCACACAACACCACACAACACACACACACCAACACACACACACCACACACACACACACCAACACACACACACACCACACCACACCACCAACACACACCACCCCAACCCCACACACCAACCCACACACCCCACCACACAACACACAACACACACACACACCACACACCAACACACACACCAACACCAACACACCACACACACACAACCACACACAACACCACAAACACACACACCAACACACCACACACACCACCACACACACACACCACCAACACACACCACCCACACACACCAACACACACCACACACCCAACACCACACACCCACCAAACACACCCACACCAACACACACACACCCACCACACACACCCAACACACCAACACACCACCAACACCCACACACCACACACACACACACAACACACACCACACCACACCACACCAAACCCCACCACCCACCACACACCACCAACACCCACACACACCAAACACACCACACACACACACCACACACACACACACACACCACACACACACACACACACACCAACACACCAACACACACCAACACACACCAACACCACACAACCACAACACCACACACACACCAAACACACCACACCACACCAACACACACAACACCACACACACACAACACACACCAACCACCCACCACACACACACACACCACACACACCACACAACACACACACACACCAACACACACCACACACACACACCACCCACACCAACACACCCCACACACCAACACACACACACACCAACACACACACACCAACACCCCAACAACACAAAACCAACCAACACACACACCCCAACCAACACACACACACACACCAACACACACACACACCAACAACACAACACAAACACACACCACACACACAACACACACCAACACAACACCACACAACACACACACAC